ATGGAGTGCATCTCAATGTCAAGAAAACAAAAATCCTCACCACTGGACCACTAAACAACATTCTTATCAACGGAGAAAAGATTGAAGTTGTCAGGGACTTCATTCTTCTTGCATCAACTATCAACACTCATGGATGCAGCATTCAAGAGATCAGATGACGTGTTGCATTAGGCAAATCTGCTGCACAGGAACTTTTTAAAGTGTTGAAGAGCAAAGATGTCAGCTTGAGGACTAAGGTACGCCTGACCCAAGCTATGATATTTTCAATAACCTCATATGCATGCCAAAGTTGGACAGTGATTAAGGAAGACCATAGAAGAATTGATGCCTTTGAGTTATTGGAGGAGAATACTAAAAGTGCTGTGGGCTGCCAAAAGAATAGATCTGTTTTGGAAGAAGTGCTCCTTAGAGGCCAAGGTGGTCAAACTTCGTCTCTCATACGTTGGACATATTGTCAGGAGGGAACAGTCGCTGGAGAAGGATATCATGTTTGGTAAGGTGGAGGGTCAGAGAAAAAGAGGAAGACCCCAACGAGATGGATTGGCCAGGTGGCAGCATCGATGGACTCAAGTGTGGCAACAGTAGTGAGGTTGCCCCAGGATCGGACATTGTTTCTTTCTGCTGTGCATAAGGTCACTGAGTTAGTGCTGACTCAATGGCACCTAACAACAATAACAAAGATTTACAGCCTCGGAAACCTTGTTCAGGGTAGCTAGGGGTCGGAACCGACTAGACGGTACTTAACAACAACAACAATGGCTAATGATCATGAACGTTTATTCATATGTTTGTTGGCTGTCCTGACATGTTCCTTGGTGAAGTGTCCATTCATTTCCTGTGCCCATTTTTAACTGGGTTATTTGTCTTTTTCTTGTAGAGATACTGTAGTTTTCTGTATATTTCAGAAATTAGTCCCTTGTCTGATATGTCATTGCAAAAGATTTTTTTCCCATTCTGTGGGCTCCCTTTTTACTCTTTTGATGCACATAAGTTTCTAACTTTTAGTATGTCCCAATCATTTATTTTGTCTTCTTTTTTTTTGTGCAATTCTCACAGTGTTTGGTAGTCTATGTGTGCTCTGTTTTAGAGCCTTTAAATTTGTCCCTATTTTTTCATTGATGGCCTTTATAATTCTGGAATTCACTTTTAGGTTTTTAATACATGATCAGTTGGTTTTTGTATATGGTGTGAGATAAAGGCCTTGTTTCAATCTTTTGCATATCAATTTCCAGTTCTGCCAGCACCATCTATCTGTTGAAGAGACTATCTCTTTTCCATTCATTCTACTTTGGCACTTTGTCAAAGATCAGTGGGCTGTAATTTCTGGATTCTCAATTCTGTTCCATTGAGCTATGTATCTTCCATTGTACCAATACTAGACTGTTTTGACCACTGTAGCCATGTAGTAAAGTTCAAAATCAGTGAGAGGCCTCCAACTATGTTGGTCTCCTTAAGCGGTGCTTTGCTTATCCAGGAACTCTTTCTTTTCCATATAGTTTGTAATTGTTTTTCCCATCTCTTTAAAGAATGCCATTGGAATCTGAATTGGGATTGCATTATATGTGTAAATTGCTTTGGGCAGTATTGACATTTTCACAATGTTAAGTCTTCCTATCCAGGAGCATGGTATATTCTTTCATTTTTGTAAGTTTCTTTTAGTTTCTTATAGGGTATAAGACACTTTTGAAGTAACAAATCAGTTTTATGAATGGAAAGTAATACTCTGTTTTTAAAAGAAATTAAAGTTGACCTTTGAATAATGTGAGGGCTGTGGGCTTGGATCCCCTGTGCATTCGAAAATCCATGTATAATTTTTGATTCCCCAAAAATGTAACTACTGATAGTTTGCGGTTTTTTGGAAGTGTTACTGATCACATAAACCATCAGGTAACACATACTTTGAATGTTGTATTTATTGTGCACTGTATCCATTTAAAAGCTGCATTTTCAATGTGAATAAAAAGTATTTTGCAAAATATGCAAGATTTTCACAACTGCTCTTGGTATCTGTAGCAACAGCTTCACAAGTTCGCTTTTCTTTTTTTATAATGGCCTTTACTCTGGATTCATGTATCTTCAAGTGGGCAACTGCAGCTGTAGACCATGCATACCAAATTATCCAACTTTTTCTTGCAGTGTCATAACTTTTCTCTGCTTCTTGGGAACAATTCCAGTAACGCTAGTGGTGCTTCATCTGGGTCCCATGGTGTGTTTATTGAGGATTTGTCATGTTGCAATAAACATGATAAAAACTATGCCATGGCTACGAGAGACCACTTTTTATTGTAATACTTTAGCAGAGAGATGAACTGCTCATGTGGAGATGATTAGTGTTTTTGGAGCTTACATGCATATAAGTGGAACTGTGCAGTTCAAATTTCTATTGTGAAAAGTTCAGCTATATACAACTTTTCAGAAATGTGTATCTTCTATAAAATATTATATCCTGTAATAATTAATAGCACTGGCCCTGGAATCAGATAGCTGTGACTCTGACTGGTTTTGGCTATGTATCCTTGGGCCTGCTACTTAACTTCTCTGTCTTTAAATTTCCTCATCTGAAAAATGAAGATAATATTGGCAATGTATGTTAAGTAGGATTCCTGGTGTGGTACCATAGGATACGCACTACGCTGCTAACTACAAGGTTGGTGGTTCAAATCTACCAGGCATTCCTTGGATTGTATGAGTTGGAACCAACTTGAAGCACTTGAAGACAACAAAATGGATCAGACATATCTCAGCCTGCATGCTTGTGTTTGTGTGCTCTTGGTTTGGACTCCTGGTGTGGCACTGTATGATTAGCTCTGGACGGAAGTGCAAATCTACACAGGGTCACTGTAAGTCAGAACTGACTCAATGGTACTTAACAAATACAGCGTATGTTAAGTAGGATAATATATGGAAAACAGTGCTTATTGTTACAAGGCACTATAGTAGAATAGGTGCAAACTCATGGCAACCCCATGCGTGCAGAGTAGAACTGCTCCATAGGGTTTTCAAGGCTGTGATCTTTCAAAAGCAGATTGCTAGGCATCTCATCTCAGCGTGCCTGAATGGTTTCCAACTGCCAAACTTTGGGCTAGTAGTTGAGTGTTTTGATCTTTTGTACCACACAGTGGCTCCCAACTAGCGCATAGTTATTGTTGTTAGGCACCGTAGAGTCAATTCTGACTCATAGTGACTCTGTATATGGTTTCCAAGACTTTAAATCTTTGCAGGAGTAGAAAGTCTTATCTTTCTTCTACTGAACAGCTGATGAGCTCAACTACTGACCTTGTGGTTCAAAGTCTTTATGGAGCCACCATGCTTTCCTAGCACATAGGTACTCCCTAATATTAGCTGTTATTGTTAGTATACCTGAACGAAAATAATGGCCCATTTGAGAGTAATCTGTGATCTTCAAAAATTTTTTTTAGCTCCCAAGTAATTTTGACATTGAAGCAGCACTATCAAAGTATCCCGTGAGATATGAAGAAAGCATGAATACAGTGTTGGTACAAGAAATGGAACGATTTAACAAGTAAGACTATCATCACTGACACCACAACTATTAACCCAAGTCAATAAAAAGATATTGTAGCATGAAATTTGATTGTTACAGAGAAGATTATAAAATTCTACCATTTTCTTTAAATTTTCACCCTTTCCTTTTTTTTTAAGTTCTAGAACCTTCTGCCCCAGATAAGGAGATCTTTTTATAAAGTAAAAATGTTGATGAAAAGGGTATCTGCTTTTACTGGTTAAAATATTCAGTAATTTCTCCCCTGGTTTTGGTACTGTTCTCTTCAAGAACAAAAGACAGAATGACCTTTAAGCTAGGACTTTGTATAGTGGTGAAGTCCTGGCGTGGTGCTGTAAGGTTGATGGGTCAGGCTCACCAACTGCTCCTAGGAAGCCTTATATAGGGTCACTATGGGTCAGAACTGACTTGATGTCACTTAAAAACAACAATAATGTATCATGGCATCTTTTGTCATTTTTTTCCCTCTACGTGACACACATACAGCTCTTTAGGTTGAATTTATTACTGAATCCAATCTAGTTTGATTAGATGCCCCACGATGGCAAAAAAAAAATATGTACTTTGGATTTTAATGAATTCTCTGCAACTCAGTACTGGCTTAAGGAATGGTAAAGTGTTTTGGTTGTGAATTTTCTGAAGTGTTTCCAAATTTATTTTGTTTCCAGACTTGTTGACATTTTAAAATAAAGCATATTAGAATGCTGTGAGGCTTATATACACCTGTTGTTGTTGTTAAGTGCCATCGACTCAGTTCTGACTCATAACGACCTGGCATAGAGTTTCCGAGAAGCGGTTGGTGGTTTGAACTGCTGAACTTGTGGTTCACAGTCCAATGCTGATTCACAGCACCATACCAGAAGTCCATATTTACATAAAGTCACATACTACTTTTCAGTTGTTTGGGCTTCTAGTCTAAAACCTTCACTTCTGGTATATTTGGAGTCCTTGTGTGGCTCTGTAGGATAAGTACTGTGGACCACAAGGCCAGTTTGAACCACAGTGTCAGCAGTTCAAACTGCCGACCACCCCTTGCTAACCCTATATAGGGTCTTTATGAGTCGTAACTTACTCAATGATACTTAACAACAGAAACAGGTGTATTTATGGTGTTCTTAGCAGTTTGGGCCTAGTTGGAAGCATAAGTATTTTCAAATATGTAAGTGAATATATAGTTGATGTTCTAATGCAGTATTCCCCAAGATTTAGCCATTTTACCACATGTTGATATTTTTTCACGTATTTCCATTTGTCATCTATTTACCCAGAGTACAACAAGTTAAAAGTGCTAGTTCTACTACTTTCTGTATTTTAATATATGTCTAATATGATTTCAAATGAAGTACGTTCATCCAAGAATCACCTGAAAATTATCCCACTTACCACGAAATGGGAGGTGACCACACTATGGGAAATACTCTCATAAAGCTGTAAATGAGGGTCCAGCCATCACCTCTTCATCTGGAAGGATTGAATGTTGATATTTACTATTGTCTCTATATTGATGGGAGTCCTGGTATGGTGCTGTAGAATAAGCACTGGACTGCTAGCCATAAGGTCAGCAGTTCAAATCCACCAACAGCTCTTGGAAACCCTATACAGGGTTGTTATGAGTTGAAACTGACTTGATGGTATTTAACAACAACAGCTATATTGATGACTTAATTTATTTCATTCCAGCTTAATTAGAACGATATATAACACTTTGCGGGACCTTGAAAAAGCTATTAAAGGTGTGGTTGTAATGGACTCTACATTGGAGGCCCTCTCTGGCAGCTTACTTATTGGAAGGGTTCCAGAAACATGGGCCAAACGATCATACCCAAGTCTTAAGCCCTTAGGAAGTTACGTCACAGATTTTCTAGCCCGGCTGAGCTTTCTACAGGTAAAGAATTTTATATATAAATAGATATAAATATAAACACAGATGTGGGTTTTGAGTGGGGAGAGTGGAGTTGACTTGGAAGATGATGGAAATTGGCTGGAGTCACTTAGATGTTTGTGAGCTAAGTGGAATAAAATTAATAGGTTTGTAATAATTTAACCAAAATTTTAGAAGATTGAAAATTACATATGTTTCAAAGTATTGAAACATTTACCAGAATTCAAAGAATGTGCATGTAATACATGTATTTCTGGAGGTTCTACATTTGTGATTTTCTGAGACTATAGTTTTGTCCTGTGATTTAAATACTCACTGGTAAATCATGGAAAGAATTTAAGGTTTGGATTTATCAATAAATGACCATTGTGTTAGAATCAGTGCCCCTTATCTCAGACAACCAAAGAAAAGATGAGTGCTATGAAACACTCTGCTCTTTACCCAGTTAAAGGATGCTCCAGACAGATACTGCCTTCTCTGCTTCTGCTACACTGCTTACCCCCATCCTGTGATTATATATGTGGGACTGCGGAAAGGATGTTGGGAAGAGCCACTCAAAAATAATACTGTTTTGGAAATTCACAAACTTTAGGTATATGATTTTTCAATATTCAGTTGCCTATTTTATTACATAAAATATTTGTTTCAGTATAGAATCTAATCATGAAACTGTCATTGCTTGTGAGGATGTGCAGAGATAGTCTGTTAAGTCACCTAGTACCTTCTTGTGCCTTCTTAATTCAATTTGACTTTCCTTGACCATCAATGAGACTATGCTTCTTTTGATCTATGTGTCTGACATTTGCATATTCTTCTGTGAATCGTTTACTCATGTGCTAGGCTCACTTTTCTTTTGGACAAGTTTTTGCAAAATTATTTTATAAGAGGTTTTTTGGTGGGTTATAAATTTGACAAAAGAGCTAGTATAAAACAGTGGTTTAGGCTTCAGAAGAGTTGATGCCAGCCTCAGTTTTCTAATGGCACTTCTAAGTCATAGAGTTGCTGTAATTACTAAATTTAAGAATTCATTCAGAGCACTTAGTATAGTACCTGGTATGTGGTAAACATCCAGTTACTGTGAACTCTGATAAATCCTAACTTACTGAATTTATCAGATGCCTTTTCAGCATTTTTTGCTAAAGGTGTGATTTTTTTATTCTTTAGCTTATTAGTGCATTGAATTGTATTACTGGATATCCAAAGGTACACCAGTTTTGTGTTCCTAGAAAAATCTTTCTTGACAGTGGTTCCTTATTGTTTTAAATGCTTACTTGATTCTATTTGAACATTTTCATTTGTTTCCCCATCAGTAATGAATCTGAGTGTCTTTTCTCAGTTTCTAGTGTTCTTTTCTCTTTTTCCTTCTGATAGGTGAGAATGTGTACATTGAGAACTCTCCTAGCCATGTCCCCGCATGTCTTTGGCTGCTTTGTGTGTACAAGGCTCTTTCTGTTTCTTACTAAAAGCATCTAATATAGAGTCAGTTCATTCCATTTTCACATTTTTAATATTTTATGCTCTAGTTTATTTCCAAACTTTTTGAAGCTCGTTGGAACTACTTACGCTTCCTGTATCCTCTTTTGTTCTCGAAGAACCTCAGAGTCTTTAGCCTGTTCCCCTAGGAGACTCATTGCTCATTTCCCAGAGAGGTCTTGGCCTAGGGCTAGGTGAGATAGTCTTCAAGACAAATTCCTTTTGTTGTTGCTGTTAATATGACATTTACATCATAGCTACACTACCTGAAATTTGAATTGCGCCTTAGAATTACACCATTTGAATTAATAAGAATGGTCTCACCCATTATTGGGACAGCTTCTCTCATCCCTTCAGTACAAATAGTCCCCTAAGTGGGTCTTCCCCATTGTCTATTTAGCCTTACAAAAGTTGTGCCATTATTTCCCCGTCTTTTTTTTTTTATCTCTTGGTCTCTTCTTCACGTCTTACTGGTTGGCTATGTGCTATTGAGTCAGTTGTGATTCATAGCATCCCTGTATAGGGTTTCTGAGGCTGTAAATCTTTAAGGGAGCAGAAAAGCATCATTTTTCTCCCTCGGAGCAACTGATAGATTCAAACTGCTGACCTTGCAGTTAGCAGCCCAGCTCGTAATCCACTATGCTACGAAAGAGGCTTTAGAATCAACAAATTTAGCAAGTAAGTCATCTGAGTTTTCTCTCCCTTTCTCATTTCTCTTTCTCTTTCTGCTCCCCAGTCCCTATCTGTAATGTTGGAGGACTAATACCAACTCACTATGTCATGTTTGTGCTGTTGTTAAGTGCTGTCTGGTCAGTTCTGACTCATAGTGACCCTGTGGAGGGCTTCCAGGGAGCAGCTGTTGAATCTGAACCACTGACCTTGTGTTTCAAACCAACCTTGTGGTCCATTGCTTTATCCCACAGCACCACACCAGGACTCCCATTGTGTTATGGTGTGGCTTTTGATTGAGGTTTTGGTGATCAAACAAAATGCTTAGACCAGTTGCTGGCAAATACTAAGCACTCAGTAAATGGTAGCTAATTAAGATTCTTCAAGTAGCTGACCAGTCTCAACATTCTTCACTATATAAAGCCTTAAGGAGCTCTGGTAGCGTAGTGGTTACGAATCGGGCTGCGAACCTTAAGGTCAGCGGTTCGAAACTACCAGCCGCTCCGCGGGAGAAAGATGAGGCTTTCTACTCCCGTAAGGATTTACACCCTCGGAAACCCTGTACAGGGTCGCTATGGGTCGGAACCGACTCGACGGCACTTAACAACAACAACAACAATGTGAAGTAAGGGAGTTTTTTACATATTTGAAGACTGGGTTCTTTCTAGTGTTTCTGTTGGCTTGTGTCCATGTTAAGTTTCATCTCTTTTTCTGCCTCTTCTTGATCTGTCAGTTACAGTGCTGCAACACTTCCTCTTACTAAAGCCACTTTCTTCCCTGTAGTATTGTTAGTACATTTAGAGATACGATTCATTTCAGTTATCTCATCTGTTCATTCAACAAAATGAGAGTTGAGACCACACTTTGTCCAAAGCTCTGTGTGATAAAAAGATAATTATAATATTAACCCTACCTTCCAGCTGCCTATAGCCTACAGGGAAGCAAGTTGTTCATTAGAAAAAAGAAAGAAAGCTAATACAGTGTACAAAGGGATGTGTCATTAAGGAAATGTGAAGAAGGGACAGTTCTTTCAGCTCAAGAAAGCAGAGTTTGTATCATGGATGAGGTAACATTTGAGCTGTGTCTATACAAACAAATGACTTTGAATCCAGCAAAGAAAGGGTAAGAGCTTAGAGACAGTCTTGAAATCAAAGGCAGTGTATCATTTAGGATCTATCCTATCATAAGTAATAAAAATTCTAACATAAAAAAAAAAGTCTGATCCCTGTGCAACTGAAAAATTCAGGGTTTTAACAGACTGAAAGTAGGATTTGACTGGGATGTAAACAGGGTGACTTGGTCCTTGCTTCTCACGCTTAATCTCTTGGATCCATTCCCTTTGGGTTAACTGCATTCTTAGCAAGATAGCAACAGCCACATCCATGTAACTTCAAAGAGCTAAGAAGAGTCTCAACAGGAGTCCCTGCATCTTATTGGCTTTCATTGGGTTATATGTCATTCCTGAATCAGTCACTGAGATTAGAAGAAAAATTGTGCTGTTGTTAAGTACTGTCAAATTGGTTCCGACCCTATATAGGGTTTCCAAGGAGTGACTGATGAGTTTGAACTACCAACCTTATGCTTCAAACCAACCTTGTGGTTGAGTGCTTATCCTTCAGCACCACAGCAGGATTAGTTAGGTTTATTCCAGGACCCACATGACCCTACCCCACACCCTCCATGTGCGTGGAATTCCAGCACCAGAAGTTCTTAGACTCACAGTGTAGGAGAGCCTGTTCTCCAGAAGGAAATAAGGGTATGTCACTTTTATAAGTTCAGAAGAAATAAAAAAGAGCTTTTCACCCAACACATAGAAGAGACCAGCAAATAGTCCAGACTAATGAGACTGTAGAATACTTGAAGTGTTCTAAAAGTGGATAGAGTTGGAAATGCAATTTGGGGTCCTATTGTGAAGTGTCTTGAATAAGATATTAGGGTTTAGACTTGGGGATTTAAGTAAGCCACTGAAGAATTATACAAAATGTAAATTTGATTCAAACCATGTATGGTGAGATATACCTTGGCAACAGTGCCCTTGGTGTGCTGAACAGAGAGAGGGAGGAAGCAAGAGGGCAGTACACAGTGTTAAAGAAAGAAGACCATGACTATCTGATCTAGATGGAGTAGGTGCATGGAGGGAAGGGATTCAAGAGAGTGGTTTTTGTTAGCTCTTTGAATTGAATTGACCATGATTCAGGGGGAACCCCATGTAAACGGGATGAAACACTGCATGGTCTCGCATCCATCACCATGATCTGTTGGGATTGGACCATTGTGATTCTGGAGTCAACATGGATCATTTTGGGAATGGATCACTAGGCCTTTCTTCCTAACCTGTCTCAGTCTGGAAGCTACACTGAACCCTGTCCAGCATCATAGCAACAGGCAACCACCACCACCATGAGGTGCATTGTGTGAGATATCTAAAGACAGTTGCTTTAGAGAACAATAAGTAATCATATGTTTTTGTTGTTGTTGTTGTTAAATGTCGTCAAGTCTGGTTCCAACCCACAGCAACCCTGTACGTGGTTTCTGAGGAGCAGCTGGTGAGTGTGAATTGCTACACTTATGGTTCGCCATTGCACCACACCAGGACTCCAAGTAAAAAAATAGCTGTCCCAATAATTTACATTTGGCTTTTTGCAGAAGACTTGAATATTTCCAGTTATATTTAATTCAGATTTGTATTCAAACCAGTTTGCTTTCCCAAGAAGAGTAGCTAGAAAGGTAGAGAAGTAGGAGGAGAGTAGGAGTGTGTCTGATGGCCGGGAAAACAGTCTTGTGATGGGAAGTGCCCAGCCTGTATATTAATTGAACAGCACACAAAGAAAAACAGAACCAGGAGCCAACTGCATGTCAGCTGACACTTGAGTAAGTTGTAAAATTAATGTCTCTTTCCCTCTTTTAGGACTGGTATGATTCAGGAAAACCAAATGTGTTTTGGCTCTCGGGTTTCTTTTTCACCCAAGCCTTTTTAACTGGAGCTATGCAGAATTATGCCAGAAAACATACCATCCCTATTGATTTACTAGGATACGAATTTGAGGTATAGTAACTCAGTGGTATATCACTGCATCAGAGTCATACTGTGTAAGCATAAAGGATACTCAGAGTTTATCTTGTATATTTTATAGCCATTATAAACAATGTGACTTGTTTGGATTCTTTGCTTCATGAAGAAAACTCTTCTAGATCTCTCATTATATCCAACAGTAGAGAGTTTGCCACAACATAACCTAGATATAGAACAATGGTGAGGGAGGAGAAGGGAGCAGAGAAAAGATAATCATTGCTAATGTGTCTGGTCTGCCCCTACTTCCAGGTTATTCCTTTTGATACATCTGACAAAGCACCACTTGATGGTGTTTTTATCCATGGTTTATATCTTGATGGAGCACGCTGGGACAGAACAAGGTCAGTAGTTATAACTGTAAATACCTCTTCAATTAGAAATAAGATGCTGCTTTTTTCCTTTTTTTCCCCTTAAACTATGAGGCTTCTGGGGAATAATGCAACTAATTAATAGTGTCAGAATTCTTATAAAGCATTCTTCAGGGTGGTGCAATTGATGAGCAATTTTAGATCCTGAACATTTTGAGTGGTTTTATTAATAAACAGATTAGTAAACATTATCACTCTGTACCTTCCATTTTATAACAGCTGCCTCACTTCTCAACAGTTTTACAGCTGCAGTAAAGGAAAGTTCTGGTGTCTATTGGTGAATGAAAAACATTTTTTGTACATTAATGAAATAATAAAAATTGGGAATATTTTAAATGGATGTTGAATTTCCAACTTCACCAGGAGACTTAAAAATTAATATTTCAGTTTTAAAACATACATATGTGAGGACAGGAGAGAAGGGGAGAAGCATTTCCTTTGGAGTCCTGCTCTTTAGTATAATCTGGGTATAAGCATGAGTCTCTAGTCCCCAGATCAGGGTTAGACTTTGCTCCCAAAGGAGAGTTAAAGTGAGAAAAATCACTTAAGAGGGACCAACAAGATAACTACACAGTGAGAGTTAACTATCTTTTTGGACTCCAGATAGTGTTATGGGAAGACTCACCTGTATAAAGTTCATTTTGTTATTTCTCTTTTCTGTTTCGGCATTCTACTGACATTTCTCCTAATGTATTTTCTTTCTTCTTCCCACTTTCTCTCCTTTTGTTCCTCTCTTCTTTTCTTCCTTTCTTCAGCAAACACACAACATAGTAAAAAGAAATCCGGTTTTTGAGGCAGGCAGATCTGTGTTTGAGTCCTGACTCTGGTTCTTAAGAGTTGTGTAATTATTTAAAAAAAAAAAAAAAAAAAAAAAGGTTTCAACCTCTCTGACCTACCAGTTTTCCCTGTGAAACAGAAAAAGGAATGAGGGTAGAATTGTTGTGAGGGTCCAATGTGATAGCATAGTGCCTGCCTCATAACAGTATTTGTTAAATAGTCAAATAAACACTTGTCTTTGCATTGACTCCAACTCATGGTGACCCATATGTGTTAGACTGATTTTCCAGGCCTTTCTTCCAGGGTACTTCTGGGTGGCTAGACTCAAACCTCCAACTTCTCGGTTAGCAGCTGAGCCTACATCCTTTTGTACCATCCAGTCATTGATAATTGTTGACTGTGTATTTTGCTGTTCCATAATTTTCTTTTGTTCCTCTCAATTTTTTATTGCATCTTCGTTTTGTTTTTATATTTTTTACAGTTCTTTTCTCTAGTCTTCTCTCGTATTAAAAGTCAATTATCTATGTAGCTACCTGTCTTAAGAAACAAATTTCATAAGTTGTTTCTAATACTCCCATCAATTTCTCTGCACAGTGGATTGCTTGCTGAACAATATCCTAAACTTCTGTTTGACCTGATGCCCATCATATGGATTAAACCAAGTAAATATACTTTTAATAAAATTTCTTAGCATTTTAGGGATGATAATGATAGATTCTGCTAACTGCTTCCCCAAATAAGTTTGTTTCACACATATATTAAGATATGTTGTTGTTGTTAGGTGCCATAGAGTTCATTCTGACTCAATGACCCTGTATAGGGTTTCTGAGGCTATAAATCTTTACAGGAGCAGAAAGCTTCATCTTTCTCCCACAGAGTGACTGGTGGGTTTGAACTGCTGATCTCATGGTTAGCAATCCAGTGCTTATGCTATATAGCACTACCAGCACTCCTTATACTGTTGTTGTTATGTGCCGTGGAGTCGGTTCCGACTCATAGCGACCCTGTACAGGGTTTCCGAGGCTGTAAATCTTTACGGGAGCAGAAAGCCTCATCTTTCTTCTGCGGAACGGCTGGTAGTTTTGAACTGCTGATCTTGTGGTTCACAGCCCGATTCGTAACCACTGTGCTACCAGAGCTCCTTACTCTTTATATTATATGTTGCTATAAGGTACTTTGTTGCTGTTGTTCTGACTCATAGAGACCCTGTATAGGATTTCCAAGGAGTGGCTAGTAGGTTTGAACTGTTGACTTTGAGGTTACAGTCCAGTCCTACAGCATCACACCAGGACTCTGATATATTAAGTTATACTTCAGTTGTAATAAGTAGTGATTTAATGTTAGTATTGGAAGTATACTGTCGCTCCCCCCATCATGTTTTTCCTGTGCCATTTGTTGTTTTGGGAAAATAATTTTGCTTGTTCATGCTATTAGCCCATGGGATTATGTTATTTTCTTTGCCCTCCCCAACACTTCTACAAGGGGTTTCAGAAAGTCTACAAATGCCCAGCCATGCGCTGCCCCTGAACTTTCATTGCCCACTTATCAAAGGCTCAAATAGACTTGACACGGGGTCCAGCTAGAGACTAGCTTTTCCTGGCTGTGAGAAGCTCCTAGGCTAGCCAGTGCCCCAAGGCATAGGTGTGGTAAGCCACATAGGGTGGAGACCAGCATTGCTTCCTGGGAAAAGCCACTTGATCCTTCCCACCTTCTAGCATCAGCATTCTTTTCACAAACCTGAAAAAAAAATTAGAGCTCATGCTTTTGTTTCCTCTTTCTTCTCAAATATTTTAACTTAAATTAAAATATTTATAAGTCACCACCAATTATTTTTTCGTTATTAATGTAGCTCAATTTTAGTTCCTTGAAATGTGGCCTTAGTTTTCAAAAAGTGTAATATATCTGGTTTTTCAGGGACTATATGTGGATTCTTTTTGTGAGTAAGATAAGGATTGGAGTGTTTTTCTTAGTAATAGTCTGCTGAAAACAAGTGGAAAGGTCAGCTTCTTGTAATTATGAGTTTCTTGTACTGAAGCTCTAAGAAGCTGTGTTTCTCCTTTTGTATCTCTGACATATTAAAATATAGTTCAATCATAGTAAGTAGTGATTTAATGTTTAAATTGGAAATGGATTGTTGCTCCCTAGCCCCATGCTCCATAGTCCCACAACCTGTGTAATCTATAGGGTATTGGGGGAGACCTTCTTCCCTACCTTCTCCTGCTCTGACTCTATCAGTCCCAAGTCCTTCTTGAGTGTTTTCATGTCTGCCAAGTGACTTGACCTTAACATCCATTTTTATCTTCTAGAATTAGAAACATAGACCATATGAAATCATTTGCCTTATTTTATAAGTAAATGTATATGCTAGAATTTAAAAAAATTAAAACTTTAAAATCTTAGAAAATGATTATCATGATCTTAGATTTAGCACTGGCCACTAGTGTGGCCCTGAGGGTTAATGCATTGGACTGCAAAGTTGGTTTGAATTGCAAGGTCAGTGGTTCAAGCTCACTAGCCGCTCCTTGGAAACCATATACAGGGTTGCTATGGGTCAGAACAGACTCAATGTCACTTGTCAACAGCAACATTGTATTTACAGGAGTTCTGGTGTGGCACTGTAAGATAATCACTTGACCACATGGTTGATTTGAACCACAAGATTGGCAGTTCAAACTCACCTCAGAAACGCTAAACCCTGAGTGGGAATCATCTCAACAAGACTTAAAACAAGAACAATAGTATTATAAGATGTATAGTTGTTTTAATACCATTGGCTATTTTCCCTTTATTAAATAGATACGTTTCTTCTTTTCAAGCTGAAAAGTTTAAGATTCCGAAGTCAAATGCCTATGTCTGTCCCTTGTACAAGACAAGTGAACGTAAAGGAACTCTTTCCACCACTGGCCATTCTACTAACTTTGTGATTGCGATGTTGTTAAAAACGCATCTACCCACCCAGCACTGGGTCAAGCGTGGGGTTGCTTTGCTTTGTCAACTGGATGATTAAATTGGACAAGTTTAGCAAACATCTGAAAAGAAGAAAACGAATTGTCCTAAAATACTTAAAAATATATATCCATTGTAAAGCCAAGTATCTGTGTCATTTTTTAAAATGGTCTTTGTGAATGGTCTATGTACTGTTTCCTCCCTAATTTACCATTTTTGATTGGAACACAGCCTTGTAGCTAGGCGCTTTTGAGAAGATCACAGACTCCCGTGGAAGGAAAAATGTGATAAGACGTATATGGAAAGCCTTTGAAGCTCTTATTTTGCTCCTTATTTTAGTTTGCTATGTGTGTGAAAATTACAGCTGGGGGAAATAAATGAAAAAGTATATCAGAAATGATATCTTCATAAGCACTGTGTTTTATCCTTTTGACATAACTTGTTGTTGTTGAAACTATACAAAGCAAACACACAGCAGTATTCAGTCATTTCTACACGTACAACGTAGTGGCATTGGTTACGTTCATCTAGTTGAGCTTCCATTCTCCTCCTGCTTTCCTGAGATGTTCCTCTGCCACTGACATAAACTCACTGTCCCCTAAGGCTCCTATCTAGTCTTCCTAGTTGCTGTTTATCTATTGTCAGTTTGACTCCACATGGATGGTTCTTAAAAGAGCAAATTGCTCAAGGTTGATATTGTTAACTAGTTAAGCTAAACTACTGTTTAGTTTTAAGAAGACTTCAAGGGATATTTCTGGTTTAAGGTTTAAAGATTATCTCAGGGCAATAGTTTGACTCCATGGCTGTAGAAAATCCACATTCTATGTGATTTTGAGTTATACTCTGCATTTCCCACCTTTCCATCGGGATTCTTCTATAGAATCTTTGATCAGAATGTTCAGTAATGACAGCCTGGCACCATCAACGCCTTCAGATCTCATGCCAGAGGTGGCAGACATTTCTAAACACAATTAGTCATGCATCCATCTCTTTCTCCTATTCCTCCTTCCTCTGTTGCTCCAGGTGAATAGAGAATAATTGTTGTGCCTTGGATGGCAGCTTTCAAGCTTTTAGACCTCAGGTACTAGACGGTAAACTAGGAGGTAGAACAGAGGCACTTAAACACTGTAAAGGAAGGTCCTTGCCTTCTACTGACCAACAATGTCAAGGAGAGGCATAAAGTTTTCCACACAAACAAAGCTGTTTTTAAAGCAAGGTTATAGAATTCTTGAGAGGGAGAGAGACAGGAGGTCATTCCATGTGAGAAAGATGAGGCTTTCTGCTCCCGTAAAGATTTACAGCCTCAGAAACCCTGTACAGGGTCGCTATGAGTCAGGACCAATTCCATGGCACATTACAACAACAACTACAACACTGGGTAGAGGGAGGTGCAGGGAATGGGCAGGGGAGTAAGCAAGGCTGGTTGGAACTGCAAGGTGGATGGTTCAAATTGACCAGCTGCTCCTTAGAAACCCTATACAGAGCCATTATGAGTTGGAACCAACTTGACGGCACTTAACAACAACACAAGCAAAACACAAAATGACATCTGCTGCAAAATTTACAAGGTTTAGTTGGTAGGAGTCATTCTGGATGTCCTGTGTGTGTAAAGTTCTGGTCCGTTCACTTCTAATCACCCTAGGCTCAAAAACTGGTTTGACTTGGTTATCTGTTGAAATAGCTTTAAAGGGTTGATGTTGCTAACTGGATACAGATCAGACCTCGCATGACTCAGGATGTAGCTTTTGTCTTTCCTGCCCTTCTGGTGTCTTTTCTGGGTTTGTGTAATGATATTTTACAGCCCAATATTTTCCATACTTCATCCTGAGGAAGCAGGTATAGTAAAATAATCTTTACTGAACTATTAAGTCCTGCCAGCCCTATCTGTCTCTTGCATCCAAACCATGAGCATAAGTGTCTAAACCAAGGGACCAAATCCCATGAGATGTTTGCTTATGCATAAGAAACCTTAGCAACTATTACTTTTTTTTTTTTACTTTTGTCATTGTCAATATATCTATCTTACAACTTTTTACAATTCAGCTTTTTACTTGGGTACAGCTTACTGACAGAAACTGCAATAGGTTGTACAGCCCTATCCCAATGGAATTTTTCCATCACCATAAACTACAACTTATTACTCCATAAACGATAATCTTCGCTTTCCTCTTCCCTCCTACCCCTGGTAACTACTGGTAAACTTTGGTCTCTCTATATTTGTCTGTTCTTATCTTTTTATATAAGTGCAATCATATAATATTTTTCATTTTGTGACTGACATATTTCATTCTGCATAATGTCATGAAGTCCCATCCATATTGTAGCATGTATCAAGAATTTATCTAAGGTAGTATTCCATTGTATGCATTCACCATATTTTGTTTATCCATTCATCTGTTGATGGGCAATTAGGTTGTTCACATCTTTGGGCTATTTTGATTAGTGCTCCAATGAACATTCGGGTATATATGTTTGTCTGAGTTTCTGCCTTCAAGTATTTTGGATATACAGTTAGGAATGGAATTTCTGGGTCTTTTAATCATTCTACTTTAAATGTTTTGCGGAACTGCTACATTGTCTGTGGCATTGAAGGTACCATTTTGCATTCCCAACAGGAATGAATAAAGGTTCCATTTTCCCTACATCCTCAGCAACTTTTGTTATTTTCTGTCTTTGTTTGTTTGTTTTTAATGTTAACCATCCTGGTGAGCATGAAATGGTATCTTATTGTGGTTTTGATGGCTAATGACGTTGAGTATCTTTTCAGGTGTTTGGTGGCCATTTGAATGCTGTCTTTGGTGAAATATCTATTCAAGTCCTTTGCCCATTTTATGATTGGGTTATTTGTCATTTTGTTATTAAGGTGATGTTGTTTCTTCAGCTTCAGTCATGATTTAATTTTCACTCACCTATGTGGAATTCCAGTGTGGCACTGTGGGTTAATGTGCTGGACTGCAAAGTCAGTTTGCAGTTCAAGTTCACCAGCCTTTTCTTGGAAACCCTATACAGGGTCGCAATGGTTTGGAACCAACTTGACAGCACATAACAACAACATGTGGTGCTGTAGGATTAGCACTGGATTGTAAGCCACAAGGTCAGCAGTTCAAACCCACCAGCTGCTCCTCGGTAACCCTATGCAAGGTCCCTCTGAGTCAGAACCAACTCAACAGCATTTAACAACTACAACGTTGCTAGTAGGTGAATAATTAAACAATTACAAACTATACCCCTTTCTATATTGTTTTAAAACATTAGTTCCATCTCTCACAATACCTCTGTGACTAGGGAACCTCAACATGAAGTCGACATTGCAAAGGCAATAAGATGGCAGGAGGGCAATCCTAGCTTCTGCCCCTGAGGTAGTCTTGTGTCTCTTAGCATTCGTTTCTTATTTTATTGGAAATGACAAGTGGTCCATTTGTTAGTTTTAATAGGTAATGCTGTCATAACAGTAGTGTATATTTACTATTTTAAAACCTTTCTATAAAACAATATTTTAGTCAAAATTGTATTTACCTATCTTGTGTGGGCGTAATTCCCTCATTACGATTCCTTCATGTGAGGCCACAGCTTTATAACCTAAGGAAAAGACTGTCATTCTTATCCTGTGAATCAGGGAACTTGGGGCAATTTTTTTTTTTTTTTTTAAGTTTTTATTGTGAACTGAGTGATAGTTTACATGGGAGAACATTGGCTTTACACCATTATTTCATTGCAATGATTACAGTCTCCTCCATGCATCATCATTCAACAGTATTTACTTCCATTCCCTCTTTTTTCTGGGGGAGAGGAGAGGACATATACACAGAAACACTCAGGAATATATCATAATTTAAACAACAAAAGGGCACATTCTGCAAGCCTGCCTTCTGGCCGCCAGCAGCCTGGAACAATCATTTTTAATAATTCAGTCAGAACAAAATGTTTGATTTCTCTTAAATGCAAAATGGATTCTGGGTTATGCCAGCTATGAATCTCAAGTGTATGAATTCACTTCTCCTGGCTAACCCTCTGCAAAAGCATTTCATTCCAGTAATAAAATGTCTAATTCTTTTAACTGGTGAATATGGTAGTGATAAAAAGAGATCATGTTTTTAAATAGGGCTAAACCACATGTAAAAAAGGAGAATGTGCCAGACTGTCTTATGATCAAGTATTTATAGTTAAGCTATTAATGGAATCATCACTTCAGGGAAGTGGACATCCTAAATAGGAATTTAAATTCTGAGGCTTATGTGTGCTAATCCTTAACATTGAAAACACTGGTGCTGTTCTAAGGATATATTAAAAGGTAAAAGATTTTGGTATGTAACCAAACCTATTCTCTGCTAAGACTGAAATGCTGTTTTGAAGCCATTTAAATGTTGCCTAAAATTCATTGGTCTTTACTACCATGATTTTTGTTATATGTTATATTGTGAGAGTACACTTATTTCTATAACATGTTTATTTTGAAGGTTTACTAAATAAAACATTTTTAGCATAACATTCAATATAGATTCTTTTGGGTAAATACTATAATATCTGAGAAAAATGTATAAGCAAAATCTAAAATAATTCATTCTGAGCTGTATCATTGTTACTATGGAATTGAACTGAGTCTTACATGGAAATTTGTTTTTCATGAATAAGTTTTAATTAAGTGATTACTTTCGTAAACTTTGAAGTTATGTTGAACCGGTGGCAGTTCAGAAAGTGTTTTCTATATATGGTAAATTGCTTAAGTGAATGTTTTGTTTCAATTTTTATTTTTATTTTTTTGCATTTTCTTTTATTACTGATTCTATAAATTTTGTACTTTACTGAATTTCATTTCTAATTTTAAGCAGTTGATAATGTTTTCACAACTAGAAAATATTTTTAAATCATTCTGACTTTAAAGAAAATATGTCTGCATTTCACATGGATAATTCTACCAGCGATGAAGACACAGACAATGACTTTGATACCCAGTTCATCATTCAACAGAGCTTACAGGATATTTACAAGCTGGGAACAACACAGCCTGCACCCGAGCATGAGAGGTGATATAGTGACGTTTTGGTTAACTATTCGACACTTGAGACTCATCATCAGCATGACTTTAGTCTGGTAACAAAATTAAGAGGGTCAGAATTCAACCTGATGTCATTTAAGTAAGGAGCCCCGGTGTCACAGTAGTTACAGCATTCTATAGCTTGAATCCACCAGCTGTTCTGTGGGAGAGAAATGTGGCAGTCTGCTTCCATAAGATTTACAGCCTCAGAAACTCTGTGAGGCAGTTCTCCTCTGTCCTGTAGGGTTGCTTTGAGTAGGAAGTGACTCAAGAGTAATGGGTTTGGATATTTAAAGTGTAAGAGTTGATGCTTGATCAGAGAAGAAAAAATGGGAAAGAATTCAGAATTTAGGTAGGTAGACAAGAAAATAACTGAAGAAGGCTAGCAGCAAATAAGCAAGTCATGGTGGCACAGTGGTTAAAGCTCTTGGCTGCCAACCTGTAGGTCGGTGGTTCCATCCCACCAACCATTCCTCAGGAAAAAGATGCGGTAGTCTGCTTCCGTAAAGAACAAAGCCAACATTCTAAGGGAAGACAGGCACGGAAGAGGGTGCGTTAAAGGCCTTACTACATTTTGGAAATACTTTTATTAATCATCAGGCATTGTCTCATATGACAGCTCTTCTCTTGTTAAGTACTGTGGTACCCTATCCTTTAGTTTTTTTTATCAGATACCTTACTTTTCCCTCAATTTTAAAGTTACAGCTATATGGATCTATAAATACATACATGTTTTCCCCCCATGCAGCTTCCAATCCTTTTTGAGCACTGACTATAAGAAGATAGTTGAGACGATAGATACAGTTAAGTACTCTTTCTATCCGCTTCAACTTGTGGTAAGCCATGGTGATGACAGTGGGCAACATTCCTCCTCTATGCCCAAGAAGGCTGGAAGTCGGTTCTTCCAAATGCTGAACATGATGAGCTAATGATCAAGAGTCTCATGTGGCCCTTCCTTGGGGAAAAAGAGCTCCCGGGCTTCTCTATGGACAGAGCTGTTTTTCTGTATGTGACAAGACCTTGGGAGTATTTACAGGTCTGGTGGGGTAGAAAAGCCTTGATGAAAGGCCTTACTGTTTCTCCTTTGGCAATTAAATGTGTCTTTCATAAACTTTGGCGCTAGAATTCTATTGTTTTAGGTACTGACCTTGATAGTAGAATTTAGAAGTAGTATGGGCTACCTTATCTGTCTACCAAATGTGAATTTGTTCTCATTTAACTCATTAATAGGTAAGGAAGATGCATTGATACACTTGACCACGTACCATTCAGCTTTTGATGAAGTTGATGGGACAGGTTGGCTTCCTCTACATAAGGCTGCAGTGCAATTAAACAAGAACATTCTGGAAATAACCCTGAAAGGTAACTCCCTTTATAGTTCTTTTTGCTGTTCTCTTTGCAATAAATTTAGCACTTATTTCTGAATATTAATCTGTGTGGTCTAATGGATTTATTTCAGCATCAAAACCCAGTATGTGGGAGCAAACCACCCACAAAGGCGAAACACCGCTTTTTTTGGCTGTCAGCAGTTGCCGCTTAGAAAATGCCAGTTTTCTTCTTCTCAATGGTTGTAATCCAAATGCTAAGAATTTAGAAGGCAATTCTCCTCTTCTTACAGGTAAATTAACACCTTGGCCTCTGGGGATGAGTCTGACTTTAAGTCTCCTCCATGCAACTTTTGTGTGTGGTTGGTTGCATTAGTGTCACTTACCTCCCAACTGACTAGATATGCTCAAACGTTCTCAGCCTCAGGAAACTTTCTATAGGCATGATGCAATATCTCTGTTTACTGCTGCTGCTGCTGCGTGCTATGAAGTTGGTTCCAACTCATAACAACCTTGTATGTGGTTTCTGAGGCTGTACATCTTTACAGGAGCAGAAAGCCTCATCTTTCTCCCACAGAGCACCTGGTGGATTTGAACTGCTGACCTTGCAGTTAGCAGCCCAACATGTAACCCACTACTTAATTGAGCCAGTTACCTTTGGTATAAGATGTATGTATATGTATAAGGTATCAGAGAACTAAAAGAAGCAGCCAATAGCAAGAGAAACTCAGGTCTGAGAAAGCTGGCACACTGAACACAAACAACTCAGTTTGCTCCCTTCTGAATCCTTACTAAAACCACAGTTAAGTAATTGTTTTAAAGGAATAAGATGCAAACAAATAGGAAGAACAAGAGAGGAGACAGCAATAACACATTTTAAAAAAACCTAGGAGGTCAGATGGATGAGTACTAAGTGACAAGAAAGCCAAGTCTTAAACTGGTAGTGGAGAAAGTTAAAAAACACACATAATTTTCAAAAAGTCTGGATATTGTTGAATATAGGTACTTCATGGAACATGGGTGAAGGAAGGGCAGTTAAAATAGAGGATGTTGCTGTTGGTAAGTGCTGTGAAATCAATTCTGATTCATAGCAACTCTGTATAGCGTTTTCAAGCAGCAGCTGGTGGGTTTAAGCTGCCAACCTTGCAGGTTAGTAGTCCAGTGTTTGTCCTACCAGGACTCCAAAAAAAAAAAAGAGAGAGAAAAAAGAGAACTATTAAGAAGCAGATCACCAGGTCACTTCCTGACTCCAATCTGCTGGACCACATTCCACCACCCCAGCAGAGTTCTGGAGCTGTCTTCTCTGCACCGAGTTAGTCTCTGGAGTGAGGAGGAATATGAAACAAAGGTGGAGTACTGTACTGAAAACACTGGAAGGATTAAGTAAGCATAGGCTGAGCTCTCACCTGCCTCCCCTACTAGGGTTCCAGAAAGATAGCAGCTAAGCATTTACTCTCCAGAAACAGGCTTCTCTGGAGAATCTGAACAGCCCCAAAAGACCTAAATATAGTGACCCGGGGGGTTCCCCAACAAATAGTCCAGATACACCAACCTGCAGTTAAGCCCATGGTTCATCCACACCCCCACACCACTTTGTTCCCAGTCAGATTTTTTCATGCCCCATTCTTCATCGTGAATAGAATCTGAGAAAATCTTTAATATGAAAGACAGAGTAAAACAAACAGAGATAAGCAACTTGGAGGAAACATTATTTATGAGAAGGAGACATTTTTATTCATCTCTTCAGAAAAACTGATGAAATAGGAATAGGATAGTAAGAAAGAAAAATCAAAGAACTGAAAAAAGGGGGAAAAAAAACCTCCTGAATATTTAAAATTTTTTTTGGAAATAATTCATTTTGTGAAAGGCTAAGCTGGTTATTTAGAAATATAAACATTAGTAGCAAAGAATAAGCTAAAAAGATGCCTTTGGGGAAGAGGAAGTGGGCTGGGTAGGAAAGAGCTAGAAAACTCCTGTAGTATTTGACTTTGGCAAACTTTGCACATGTCCTGGTGTGGCGCTGTGGGTTAATGTGCTGGACTGCAAAGTTGTTTGAACTGCAGAGTTGGCAGTTCAAGCTCACCAGCCCCTCCTCAGAAACTGTATACAGGGTTGCTATGGGTTGGAACTGACTTGACGTCACTTAACAATAACAACCTTTTATCAAAATAAAAATTTTAGATTTTCAAAAAGAAACAGCACAGTAACAGAGCATTGCTGAAAATTGGCCTTGTGGGCCCTTTGTGGTTTATCGTAAAACATAGTCTCTAAGGCATTTATAGAAAAACACTGACTGAAAAAGCCCCCTGAGAAGGCAGCTCATAAACTGTAAAACCCCACATCGCAGTGTAGTTTCCTCATTTGTGAGATGGGGATAATAATAGTGTATGTCATGTGTGTGTCCAAACCCCATATGTGAAGTCTGTCATGATCATTGTGAACCTTTGAACAGCGCTGGCTTTCCTCTCTTCACTCCTACCTATCTGGCAGATCCAGTGGTCTAATTTCTGTGGTACTTAGACAGTATTTCACATTGATAGATCATAGAAAAAGTGGAGTTAAAGTTAAGCAAGTTTGTTGCAAAATTGCTCAGAAACTTCAGTATACCAAAGCACAAAGTGAAACTTAAAGAGGGAGAATGACCATGCTGTGTTCCCAGGCCTTTTATTTTGTTTTTGTTGTTTTTTTTTTTTAACTACAGAATCATTTTCTTCCAAAGGAACCTCAAGGGACTATATGCAGAACACACTTGGGAAACACAGGCCAAAACTATTGTTTCCATAGACTCAGCCACTCTCCCATGTGTCATGTGTATTTACATTACATTTTCAGTCATTTATTTGCAACGGTTGTTTTTACTGCTGGCTTTGTTCTTTTTCTTCTTTTAAAGTAGTTATAGGCATTTTCAGGACTGTAACAGGTGGTGCTTGGTTCTTTTTTTAACAGATTTTTAATGAAAATTTTATGTTTATGTATCTTAACCACATAAGCAAACAATACCAGCTACGAGTTGCCATTGAGTTAATTCTGACTCATTGTACCGTCAGGTGTGACACAGAGAACTGTGCTCTATATGGTTTCCAATGTCTCAATTTTCAGAAGTGGATTGCCATGACTTGTTTCTGAGGGGCCTCTAAGTGGACTCAAACTACCAACCTTTTAGTTAGCAGCAAGCATGTAAATTATTTGCATCATTCAGGGATCCAAGGAGTCAATAGACAACACATAAATTGGTCATGGTTTATAGAAAACCAAATAGTGCATTGATATAAAACATTATTAGAATTATTTAATACATGTTCTGTTCTAAAATCTGTTTCCTAAACATAGAACACTGGGATATGATAGTAAATAGGATAATCACCTTAAAAAGTCAAAAAATACTAGCTGGTATGATCCTCTTGTCTTAACGTCCTGTAACGTTTAACCTCATTTCTAATTTCCCAGCTGTTGCTCAGGATTCCTACGACATGGCCTCCTTGCTGATCAGCCACGGAGCAGATGTCAATCTGCTGTGTGCCAATGAGAGGACGGCTCTCCATGAAGCAGCCAAACTGGGCAGACAGGACATGGTGAAGCTTATGCTGGTTTCTGGGGCACACCCTGACCCACGGAGCTCGTATGGTTTCACTCCTCTTGCTCTTGCTGCCCAAAGTGGACACACTGAAATCATGAGAATATTATTGCAGAAAGGCAAGATATCCTGTGTAATCAGCACAGTACCAAGGTGTGATGTGATGCAAGTGCTCTCTTGATTGAGAGCTTCAAAATATTGAAGTCAGCATTTTATGTAAGCCTAATATATGTAAGTGTCGAGCTCTGGTAGCGTAGTGGCTACGAATCGGGCTGCTCACCTCACAGTCAGCAGTTCGAAACTACCAGCTGTTCCGCGGGAGAAAGATGAGGGTTTCTACTCCCGTAAAGATTTACAACCTCAGAAACCCTGTACAGGGTCACTATGAGTCGGAACCAACTCCACGGCACATAACAGCAACAACAACAACAATATAAGTGATAAAATTATGTGTAAAGACGGCTACTGAAAACAAGGAAATAGTTCTTTTGGCTGAAGTAATGAGGAGCCCTGGTGGTAGAGCAGTTAAGCTCTCTTGTGCTTACTGAAGGGTCAGCAACTTGAAAGATAGGCAGTCTGCTTCTGTAAAGGCTCTAGCCTTGGAAGCCCTGTGGGTCTCTGTCCTGGAGGGTCACTATCAATCAGAAGCAGTTCAACAGCCTTTGTTACTAGAATGCAGATGACTCTTTTAATTCCTGTCCCTGACCATTCTAAGAAGACTGTTGTTTTTGAACTTTTTATGTGTTCTCTTTTTGTAGAATCAGATTCAAAAACCCTCCAACATGCCTAACATGCTGTCTCTGTTTAACTAAACTAAGTCATGAGACAGTCCCATCTGTTAGCACATGATCTCAGTTGTTAGGAAATTCTTCCTAATTTCTTCTCTTTGAGTCCTAGTGCTCTCATCTAAAGGGAGGTTTATTAGCTTACACTTTTATTAATGTATTCTAGGAATTTCTTGAGCAATACTGTACTCAGGTGACTGTTAGTGGGTCTGTACTAAATTAGTTGCTGTCTTTTTCATACGAGCTATAAAATGTACCTAGAATGCCCTCTATTCCTTTTATCTACCTAAATGCTCTTCTTTCTTCAGAGCCTGTTTTACTGTGAAGTCTTCAACACCTGGTTCACTGCCTTTTTTCCTTCCTTCACCTCACAACTTGATCTCTTCTAGAGGACTTTTGTCTATACCTATGGTTTTACCATTTTCCTGATGCGGCACTACGGGTTAATGTGTTGGACTGCAAGGTCTGTTGGTACCGAAAGGTTGGCGGTTCAAACTCAACAGCTGCTCCTTCGAAACCCTATACAGGGTTGTTATGAGTTGGAACCAACTTGATGTTACTTACCAACAGCAACAACAATGCTTATACCTGGTGTGGCGATGTAGGATAAACACTGGACTGCTAACCACAAGATCAGCAGTTGAGCCCACCAGTTGCTCCATGAAAACCCTATACAGAATCACTATGAATCGGAACTGACTCAATGGCCCTTAACAACAACAACATACTCACGTTATCCACACCACTCACGTGACTTTCAGCATACAAAGTACTATGATTTATCACCTTCATTTTCAGCAGTCCAACTTCAGTTAAAAACAATTAGTGTCTCTTACTATGAACCATCCCCCAAAACATTAAATGACATGGTGACATAGTTCAACATGATTATTAATACCATCCTATATGTAAGTGTACTATAAGTCTAGTAAAAAAAAAAAAGCATCCTTTATAAAATTATTTCTACTGGAATTTTCAAGTTTCAAAAAAAAGTAATTTATGAAATTACTTTGAATGTCAGCCTACTTAAAACTTAGACATTTGCACTCTATTTTTTCCTCCCCAACTAGCCTATAAGCTGTATGAGAGCAGCAGGCATGTTTTAGTTGATGCTTGGTGCTTGGCTAGAGTTGTTAAGTGCCGTCAAGTCAGTTCTGCCTCATAGTGACCCTGAATAGGGTTTCCAAGGATCAGCTTGGTAGGTTTGAACCACCTCCCTTGCAGTTCAAACCAACCTTGCAGTCCAGTGCATGATTCTGCACCAAGACTCCAATAATTGCTTTTTAGTGGTGGCGACATATTTTTAAGATTGCTTAAGTAATATGATGAAAAAAATGTTTACATAATAAGACTCTTTCTCCTTTTAGGAGCGAATGCTCTTGGCCAGGCCTCTGATTCTTCTTCCATCTTAGTTGAAGCTGCTAGTGGAGGGAATCCAGACTCAGTTGCTCTCTTGCTAGAGTACGGTGCTGATGCCAACATCCCTAAGAATTCAGGCCACCTGCCCATACATGTGGCTGCTGACAGAGGTCACTTACTGTAAGTTCAACTGCAAGATTGTAAACAATAGAAATTGGTATCATAACTTTTGAGCAGCTGTTAGGAAGTTTTTATTCTTCATCCTTGATCCTAGCAACTCTAGACCCCTTTTAAATATGTGAAAACTTTTGACCAGATAGAAGGGGGTAAAGCCGGGAAACCTTGTAGTTAGTCACATAGGAGACCTAAAGATACTGCTGTATCTTTTCCTTAGGCAGTGTTGGGCGCCTCAGGTCTCAGTGAACTGGGCTCATTCTGAATTTTGTAACCTAAACAGTGGTTCCATTTTGCTTTACTTGGCTTTGAAGATTTGGGGTATAAAGATTATACCTTTTTTGTTGGAGTTTGTAACTACCACCTGATACTAATGTTATTTGGAGTGGCACTGTAGGATAAACAGTGCACTGCTAACTGCAAGATTGGTGGTTGAGGCCCACCAGTGAATCCTCAAAAACTCTCTCTCTATATATATAGGGTCACTATAGGAGCTCTGGTAGCGTAGTGGTTACGAATTGGGTTGCGAACCTTACGGTCAGCGGTTCGAAACTACCAGCCGCTCCGCGAGAGAAAGATGAGGCTTTCTACTCCCGTAAAGATTTACACCCTCGGAAACCCTGTACAGGGTCGCTATGGGTCAGAACCGACTCGACGGCACTTAACAACAACAACAGGGTCACTATGATTCACACTTAAGAAGAAGAACAACAACTAATATTATTCAGTGCTAAAACAACCAGGTGAATGCTGCATATTAACAAAACTCATTTTGAAATATGCCTTTTCAGAGCCCTGAAGACTTTGGTTCCTGTTACGGATTTTGCATCCATTAAGCAAAGTGGGATCAGTCCAATTCACTGTGCAGCAGCAGGGGCACACCCTGAGTGCCTGGAACTTCTCATCCAGGCTGGATTTGATGTGAATTTCATGCTGGATCAGAGAATTTGCAAACACTATGATGACCAGAGGAAGTCAGCTTTGTATTTTGCCGTATCAAACGGTGACCTCTCTTCAGTTAAGCTGCTTCTGAGTGCTGGGGCTCTGCCTAATCAAGACCCAGTTAACTGTCTCCAGATAGCCCTACGGATGGGCAACTATGAGCTGATAAGTTTGCTGCTTCGACATGGGGCCAATGTCAATTACTTCTGTAGAGTCAACCCTTTACATTTCCCATCAGCACTGCAGTACACCCTCAAAGATGAAGTCATGCTCAGGATGCTGCTGAATTATGGGTATGATACAGAGCGATGCTTTGATTGTCCTCATGGAGACAAAGTTCAACCTATGTATGTTTTTGAAGGCTGGACATCTACAGTTATCAAAGACACTATGGTAAGTTCACACTGTCCGCTGTATGTCCTTAGGCAGCCAGTATCTGGCACTATACAGAAGTAAGACTCTCTCCATCATCTCCAGAGAGCTCATGATTGGAAAGATGCTAATATGATATATGATTAAGTATGATACAGTAAAGTAAATCATATATGATTAAACACACACAATTAAAAGGGAGCTTTTGAAGACACAAAACCAGTTCTGAGGAGAAAGTGATTTAACTCTACCCAGAGATGTCAGGGAGTCCACATACCTGAGCAAGGTTTTAAAGAATGCTGTCCTATGTTTCAGTGATGCTCTTTCTCTGAATAAGTGAATTATCTAGCTAAAATGCTTCTGGCTTCCCAGTGTCTGTACTTCTAAGTTTTTGGCTATCTCTTTTAGCTCTTCTCAAAGATGGCCTTCCTGTCTATCTAAAGTAGTTCCCCTCCCTCAGTAATTCTTTTTATCATGCTATTCATTTTTATAGCATTTATCACTATCTGAAGTTACCTTAAAATTGATTTACTTACTGTCTCTGCAAATACACACATGTGAGTTGTTAGACACCACTTCCCTCAGCTCACACAGTTCTGCTTAACACGAAGTGCGTACTCTATAAATACTTGAATTCATGAAAATCAAAATTTGAAAATAGATATGAAATGGTGGATTGGTGAAAGCACCTTGAATCATTTCTGAAAATTGAAAGTCAAAATATTGTTATTTTAACATTGTATGATTAATATATGACTTACTCTACAACATTAACTTGGCACTTTGGCATATGAGGGGGCTTCAAAAAAGTCATGGAAAACCCCTATTGTCTTTCCATTCCTTTTTTTTCATACTTTTTGAAGCCCCCTCATATATCATCTTGTGTCCTTTCCAAGTTTTTTACATAGTACTACTTCACTTCTCCTAGGTGCATCTTGTCTAAGAGACTATACATTAATTAAAGGCAGATGCCTACCTGTCATATTCCTCATGTATGGGTGAAATTGAGTATAATTTTGAAAGAAAACCAAAATTAAGTGTGAGTTTTAGTAAGACGGCTCATTCCCCTCTCATGTGCATAAAGTAGGCTTCTACTAGGACTGCTTTGTGATTCACAGGAGGAGCTCACACCTAAATTCCAGTCAGCAGGACAGGGGGTGGGAGAGAGCAACACTACCCTGCTCTTCTTCAGCCTTATCCTGTGAGCCAGTGGGGTCACTATGGGGTCACTATGGCTGGTGTCACCCAGTGCAGCACCATAGTGTCGTTTCCTAGTCAACCCCTGGGACTACCTCCTGTACCAGCCCACACAGAATCCTAAGTAATGCTTATTATCCATTTTACTCATAGAATAATAGGTGTTATCATTGTAAATTATGTAAATATAATGTTTCTTAATTATATTAATACTAATAACAAACTTGTTTTGTAAAGTCTTTCCACAATGAATACATTATTGTTATTAGGTGCTATTGAATCTGTACTGACTCACAGTGACCTTATGCACAACAGAACAAAATACTGCCTGGTCCTCCATCAACTTCACCATAGTTGCCATGCTTGAGCCCATTGCTACTGCCACTGTACCAATCCATCTCATTGGGGGCCTTCCTCTTTTTCGTTGACCCTTCACATGATGTCCTTCTCCAAGGACTGGTCCCTCCTGATAATGTCCAAAGTATGAGAGTTGAAGTCTGGCCATCTTGGCTTCCAGGGAGCATTCTGGCTATACTTCTTCCAACACAAATTTGTTTGTTCTTTTGGCAGTCCATAGTACTTTTAATATTTTCCTCCAACACCATAACTCAAATGCATCAATTCATTTATGGTCTTCCTGATGATTGTCCAACTTTCACATGCATGTGATTGTCAGATTATTGAAAATACCATGGATTGAGTTAGGCACACCTTAGTCCTCAAACTGACATTTGTGCTCTTCAACAATTTAAAGAGGTTTTGTGCATCAGATTAGTCTAATGCAATATGTTGTTTGATTTCTTGACTGCTACTTCCATGAGTGTTGATGGTTCATCTGAGTAAATTGAAATCTTTGACAACTTCAGTCTTTTTCCTTTTTTCAAAAAGTTTTTATTGTGAATTGAGTGATAGTGTACATGGGGGAACATCAATTTTACACTCATCCTACTGTATTCATTTCATTGCAATGATTACAATCCCCTGCATGTTTCATCATTCAACAGTAATTTGCTTCTATTCCCTTTGGGTTTTTTTTTGTTGTTGTTGTTGTTGTTTTGTATGTGCACCAAAACACTCAGGAATATACACTCATTCAAACAGCCAAAGGGCACACCCGACAACTTCAGTCTTTTCTCCATTTATCTTATTATTTATTGGTCAAGAGGTGAGGATTTTTCTGTTCTTTACATTGAGATGCAACCCATACTGAAGGCTGTTGGTTTTGATCTTCATTAGTAACTGTTTTAAGTCCTCTTCGCTTTCAACAAGAAAGGCTGTGTCTTCTGAATATCGCAGGTTGTTAATGACTCTTCCTCCAATCCAGATACCACGTTCTTCTTCATATAATCCAGCTTTCATTAAGTGTGGTGAAAGAATACAACTCTAGTACTCACCTTTCCTGATTTTAAAGCATTCAGTGTCCCCTTGTTCTGTTCGAACCTGCTGCCTCTTGGTCTTTGTACAGGTTCCTCATAAGCCCAATGAAGTGTTCCAGAATTCTAATTCTCCACAATGTTGTCCATAGTTTGTCATAATCCACACAGTCAAAAGCCTTTGCATAGTCAGTAAAGCACAGGTAAACATCTATCTGACATCAGCAGTGATATCCCTTGTTCCACGTCATCTGAACCCAGATGAACCTTCTGGCAGTTCCCTGGCAATGTACTTCTGCAGCCATTTCTGAATTATCTTTAGAAAAACTTTACTTGCATGCAATATTAATAATATTGTCCAATGGAGTAGGCATAAATACGGATCTCTTCCAATCAGTTGGACAGGTCTTCCAAATTTCTTGGTGTACATGAATGCTTCCACTGCCACATCAGTTTGTTGAAAAATTTCTATTTGTTTTCCATCTATTACCTGAGCTTTGTTCTTTGCCAATGCCTTCAGTGCATCTTGGACTTCTTCAATATCATTGGTTTTTGATCATATCGTACCTTGTGAAATGTTGAACATTGGCCATTTCTTTTTGGTACAGTGTCTTGGTGTATTCCTTATATCTTCTTTTGATGCTTTCTGCATCATTCAATATTTTACCCATAGAATCCTTCAGTATTTCAAGTCAAGGCTTATATTTTTTTCTTCAATTTCCTCAGCTTGAACGTGTTCTTCACTTTTGGTTTTCTAACTTCAAGTCTGTGCACATTATAATATTTGACTTCCTCTTCTTGAGCTGCCCTTTGAAATTTTCTGTTCAGCTTTTTATCTCATTTCCTCTATTTGCTTTAGCATGTCTACACTGGAGAGCAAGTTTCAGAATCTCTTCTGACTTTCGTTTTGGTCTTTTCCTTATTTCTTGTCTTTATCATTATTTCTTGTCTTCTTAATGACCTTTTACTTTATTCCTGTATGATGTTATTCATGTCATCCCACAACACTTCTGGTCTTCGGTCATATGTGTCTAATTCATCAAATCTGTTCTTGAGATAATCTCTAATTTCAGGTGAGATATATTCAAGGTCATATTTTGCCTCTTGTGGACTGGTTTTAATTTTCTTCAGCTTCAGCCTGAACTTTCATATGAGCAATTGGTAGTTTGTCCTGGTCTTGTTTTGGCTGATGATACGGAGCTTTTCCATTGTCTCGTCCCACAGATGTAGTTTATCTGCTTTCTGTGTAATCTGTCTGGTGAGGTCCATGTGTATAGTCATCTTTGATATTGTTTTAAAAAGGTATTTACAATGAATAAGTCAAAATTCTATGTCATCTGCAGCAGTTTTTCTATCAAGGCCATATTTTCCAGTTGATCCTTCCTCTTTATTTCCAACCACCTTTGCATTCCAATCTCCAGTAATTGTCAATACATCTTGAATGCATGTTTGATCAATTTCAGACTGAAGAAGTTGGTAGAATTCTTAAATTTTGTCATCACTGGCTCTGGCACATAAATTTGAATAATAGGTGTATTAACTGGTCTTCCTTGTAGGTGTATGGATATTATCCTATCGCAAACAGTGTTGTACTTCAAGATAAATCTTGAAATGTTTTTGATGATGAATGTGGCACCATTCCTCTTCAATCTGCCATTCCTGGCATAGTAAAGTATGTGATTGTCAGGTTCAGAATGTCCAATATCAGTCTATTTCAGCTCACTAATGTATAGGGGGAGTCCTGGTGTGGTGCTGTGGGTTAATGCGCCAGACTGCAAAGCCATTTGAACTGCAAGGTTGGCCATTAAATCTCACCAGCTGCTCCTCGGAAACCCTATACAGGGTCGCTATGGGTTGGAATCCACTCAAAGGCACTTACCAACAACAGCAATGCACAGGGAGCCCTGCTGTGGTGCTGCAGGATAATGCAATGGACCACAAGGTTGATTTGAATAGCAAGGTCAGCAGTTCACACTCACCAGCCACTGTGAGTCCTGAAAACTTTACTCCATTCACATTACCCAAGTCGTATTTTGAGTGCTTTCCAACCTGAGAGTCTCATCTTCTGCCATTATATCTGACAGTATTCTGGTGTTCTTCATCATGTTTCAGTATTCAGTTTTCTGGTGCTGACAGTGTTCCACTGTTATTCATAGATTTTCAGAAGTTGTCTGCCTCTCCTTGTTCCTAATCTGTTTTAGTCTGGAAGTTCAGCTGAAACCTGTCCACCATTTGTGACCCTGCTGTTTTTTAAAATACCGGTGGCATTGATTCTACAATCACAGTAACACACAAGCCACCACAGTATGACAAACTGATAGACGAGAGGTGGGAATACATTATTAGTAACAAAATGGAAGCCTTGTTCAAATTTTTCTCCTTCTTTTACTTACTTTATTCTCAAAAAAAAGTTATTGCTATAGCTTCACAAATAACCAGTTTTCACAATCTTGTTACAAAAACATGAAAAAAGTTGACAAAATCAGCTATCTAAAAGACAGTGACAGCAACAGAAACAACAGTGTGTGCTTGTAGCCTGTGCAGGTGAAACCATGTGGTTCGAAATGTCATTGTAATTGGGCAGTAATAATAATAGCTCTGACTGGAGCATATTTGTTGTTGTTAAGTGCCATCAAGTCCATTCCGACTCATAGTGACCCTGCATTAGGTTTCTGTGGAGCGCTTGGTGGGTTTGAACTGTCAGCCTTATATTTCAAACAGACCTTGTGGTCTAGTGTAGTATCCTGCCATGGTATACCAGGACTTCACTAGAGCATATTGTTGTTGTGTGCCGTGGAGTCGGTTCCGACTCATAGCGATCCTGTACAGAATTTCCGAGGCTGTAAATCTTTACGGGAGCAGAAAGCCTCATCTTTCTCCCGTGGAACAGCTGGTAGTTTCAAACTGCTGACCTTGAGGTTAGCAGCCCAATTTGTAACCGCTATGCTACCAGAGCTTGGGTTCAAAAAGTAAATTAGCATAGTTTTAGCCTTGCAGAGTTATCAACACATGTAAATTGGGCTTACAATATAATGTTTTCATTGTTATAACTAAGGGGATCTTGTTATTAAAAATAGTACATTTCTACACTTTAAGAAAAAGTACATTTCTGTTGAAACACAAGTATTTTATAGTCATGCTGGTGTCACCCCTTCCAACAGTTACACACCTGTCTTTAATTCCCTAGTGGTGGATACCACAGCTGTGAGTTGCTCAGACTTCTTCCACGTGCATCTCATTGACCAGAATTTAGTCATGTGACCACACCTGACTGCAAATACTGGCAACGTAATTTTTATTGCAGAGCATCATGTGGACAAAGGGAGTAAAAGATATGAAACAGTCTCATTATATCTTATATAGTTTTGAAGAAGGTAGTAAATGTCTTTCCAAATCTTAGAGCTAAGAAATTTTCTTGCTTATCACATCCATTTATAAATGAGTTTGGGACTTTGGTTTCCAACTGGGTTTTTTTTGTGTGTGTTTTTTTATGATGAACCATAGGTACTTAATACTTTTCATTTACTTGCACAATTGTGATTTTCTTCTCCAGTTCTGTGAAGTGATAACTTTGTCTTGGCTGCAGCATCTTTCTGGAAAGGTTGTTCGCGTGATGCTTGATTATGTTGATCACATTCGGATCTGTTCAAAGTTGAAAGCTGTGCTCCAAAATCAGGGGCTGTGGTCAGAAATCAATTTTATCTTAAGTAAGTATCTTTACTTCTTGCAGAAGACACTCACTTAAAACACTAATTTTGATGCAAGCTTATGCCTTCTGGTTAAAAGCTTTAAAGAAACCAAGAAAAATTCTATACCTAACTAGAAAATGTTACTGGCTAATAATTAGAGTCTGTACTTCTTACCATTTTCCAGTAGATAAAAACTATTAGGTAATTACTTATTTATAATCTTTTGTTCCAATCCACCCAAATCATGACTATGAAAGGGCACTGTAGAGACAGGAATGAAGTTATGAAATGGCAACTTAAAAGTGAGGAGAAAAAGCTGAAATCTAAGCCTGTTGAGGGTATTAAAAGATACCCTCTCCAAAATAAATGATTTCACAGAAACACACAAATTGAACTTAAAAATTCTTTCATCTAATTTCCCCCTGGAAGGTCATCTTCAGCTTTTAACTTGTAATAAGGGCCAGGAATGGGGCTTAAAACATGAGTTAAAGTCAGAACCACAATAATGTCTAGTCATTGAAATCTAAGTTGACTTGTGGGAGAAAAATGAGGCTTGTCTGCTCCCGTAAAGATTGTCTCTGGAACTCCATATAGGGTTGCTGAGTTGGAATTGACTTGATCACAGTGGATGTGTTTTTGGTGTGTGTGCATGTGTGTTAACTTGACTTGGCTCTAAAACCATGTTTACAAGAAGGGTTGCAAGGAAAACTGAAAACAGTTTTTCAAAGTCTCTATGGACTTTGTCATTTAGTCACAACAAAAATTTTGGTGGCCTAAGTGTAAAATACATTTGCTAACTAAACCCCAAGGTCTCTCAAAAATAAAGCAATCCTCTTTCCTTTTGGATAGCATTTCTGTTTCTTTCATTTTAGCAAACCCTCGCTCCCTAAAACACCTGTGCCGCCTAAAGATTCGGAAATGTATGGGACGTTTACATTTGCGCTGCCCCGTCTTCATGTCGTTTCTTCCATTACCTAATCGTCTTAAAGCATATGTCCTCTACAAAGAATACGATCTTTATGAACAAGGAAATTTTAAAGGAACCTGGTAATCTCTTCTAGAGGAAAAGGTATAATTGTGCAACTGTATTTCTTAAATTCTGACTTATGTCTAACGTATCTGTGTGGTTTTACCCAGCGACTAAAATCTAAATGCAATCTTCATTCTTTAAAGTCACCTGAATATAGCCTCTCAATATACCAGATGGACAGCATTCTGAAAAGCCATTTTAAAAAATAAAGGCCAAACAGTAAAATTTTCAGTTAACTGGAACAAGTCAGTCTAATTTTGTATTAATGCACATTTTCACATGGTCAGAATAATAGATGCCATCTGTGGTGCTTTGACTAAATTACTTGATATGGCTTTCCTATCCAAAATCTTTATTCCCACCAAATGCCTGGGTGGGACCATGCAAATAGGGTATACAGGACTCAAACACTGGGATTGGTTAGTTTTGCCATTCCTCTAGGTTTGAAAGGGACTATCTCAGAAGCAAAGACAGATGATCCCAGGACTATGAAGAAAGTAGAGCCATGAGTGGAGCAGAAGTAGCAGCAGCCTGGAGCGACAGAGCAGCTGTGGGCTTCCCAGTCTAAGGACCAACGAAAGCTAAGTGCTTACAGGCAGGAGGCTAGCTTGCATATTGTGCCTTCGGCACATTTACAGAATGGCTAAAGGCACTTTGGAGTCCTGGTGTGGCTACAAGGTCAGTTTGAACCAAAAGGTCAGCGATTCAAATCCACCAGTCGCTCTTCAGAAACCCTTTACAGGGTCGTTGTGAATCGGAACTCACTTGAAGTTCACTTGACAACAACCAACAAGCTCTGTAACGCTTGTGCAGGGCAGAGGCAGAGAAGCCATGTGGCCCAGAGGCTGAAGACAAGAGCAAGACATGCCTGCACTACGGCAGAGAAAAGGTGTTTCTGACTGGAGAACTGCTGCTTCCTGTGTGGATTTTGATTCTGACTTGTTCTCTATTCTCTTGCTCACTTAATAAACCCCATAATCCTGAGTATTGTTATGAGTGTGTGTTGGCCATTGCAATGGGTTATCGAACCCAGATGTGAAGCACAGTGCTGTGGGAGGGATGGTTGGTATCAGAAGAGGGTTGTAAGGTACAGGCATGTCTGACCTCTGCCTCACAGGAATTGGCCTTGGGCTGATTTTGAGTTTGATTCTCCTTTCCATAAAAATGACTTCCCTGATTTTTTTGTACCTGTGATGATTCAAGATCATTCTTAATGGTAATCCTTTTTATAGAGAAGTGCACATATAAAATGTCTTAGTGATTAGAATGAGTGCGTGTTCACCCCAGTTATATGACCCAGAAGTTAGCTGGGTTTTTTGTTTGGTTATTTTTGCAAAAAGGTCCAGAGCTATCTTAGTGTCTGGAAGTGTTTTACTGTCAGCTTAAATTTTGAGGTGGGATATTCAGGTCATTGAATTAGGTCCTTCATTTGAAATTCCTTCATTAATGGAAACATTACATCTTTCCACAATACTCAGGCTATAAGTTCCCATTTATTAGTTGATGTGGTCACTGAAATAGAAATTAAAGGGGCTTTTAAACGGTTCCATGAGACTTTTATTAACAGTACTCAATCTAGCATACTACTGAATGTACAGGAGGGGACCACTGATAGAAGCACTTATAATATGCTCTATTTTCAATAGCCTCATAGGCATATAAAAGTTAGACAATGAATAAGGAAGACTGAAGAATTGATGCATTTGAATCACTGTGTTGGAGAAAACTATTAAAAGTACCATGGCCTGCTAGAAGAACAAACAAATCTATGTTGAAAGAAGTGCAGCCAGAATACTCCTTGGAAGTAAGGATGACGAGACTGGACATATTGTCAGGAGGGACCAGTCCCTGGAGAAGGACATCATGTTTAGTAAAGTGGAGGGACAGCGGAAAAGAGGGAGACCTCCAATGAGATGGATTGCACAGTGGCATCAACAATGGGCTCAATTGTAAGCAGCAATTGTGAGGATGGCACAGGGCCGGATGGTGTTTTGTTCTGTTGTACACAGGAACACTGAGTTGGAACAAACTTGACACTTAACAAGTTTAAACATTTATTTCTACATATTCTAAACTGTGGGAGCACAATGTTTCCATGTGATAAGCACTGGACTGAAAACCACAAGGTCAATGGCTCGAGGTCACCAGCTGCTCTATGGGGGAAAGATGAGGCTTTTTGCTCCCACAAAGATTTACAGCCTTAGAAATCTTATACTGGGCCGCTTTGAGTTGGAACTGTTTGACTTAACAACATTCTAAAGTACATCTAAGTACGTTTCTCTCTATAAAAGTGAGGCAGAAAACTGTAGCTAGTTCATCCAGCCACACGTGTAGAGCATTTAGGAACATGTGAGCAGGATGGAGGAAAGGCAGAGTATAGATCATTCTCTCCACAAGCCCGACAGTGATAGCCTTGGTGTTTGCAAGTCTAGTCTTAGAATTACTGCTTTAGCATGACAGTCCATCTTACGGAAACTGAGTTATATGAATTTCCTCTCATGGAGGGATTCTTAGGTATATGGGCTATTTGAATATGCAAAGAATTCACAGTTTAAAAATTCCTTTTAATGATACATAGTTCACCAAAAAACTTAACAAAATCATTATTTTTAAATCAAATTGTGTTTCTAAACAAGTGTTATGTGTATGTCAACATGTAAATATATTTAGGATGTTTGTTGTTAAGTGCTATTTAGTTAGTTCCGACTCATAGCAACCCTGTATAGGGTTTCCAAGGCTTTAAATCTTCATGGGAGCAGAAAACCTCATGCACCTACCTATATTAGAATTAATGCCTTAGAAGAAGTACAGCCAGAATGCTCCTTAGAAGCTAGAATGGTGAGACTTCATCTTTCATAATGTGGACAAGTCCCTGAAGAAAGACATCATGCTTGGTTAAAGTGGATGGTCAGTGCAAAAGAGGAAGACCTCCAACGAGATGGACTGACACAGTGGCAGCAGCAGTGGGCTCTAGCATTAACAGCTGTGAGGACGGCGCAAGACCAGGCAGTGTTTTGTTCTGCTGTGTGTTAGGTCTCTACGAGTCAGAACTGACATGAAGGCACCTAATAACAACACATTAGAATTAAAGGTCCTGGTGGTGCAGTCGGTTAGGCCTTGGTCTGACTGAAAAAGTTAACAGTTTGAATGCACAGCTGCTTCTTGCTAGAAAGATGGCTGTCTGCTTCCAAAAGATTTACAAAACTTAGAAACCCTATGGGGTAGTGATGAATTAGTCTGCTTCTAAAACACACTTTCCCCCAAGAAAGGTTTTTGTGGTTTCATTTTAGCTGTTAAGAGAATTACAGTGGGAATCTGCCATTCGCTCCACAGGAGAAAGATGAGGCTTTCTGCGCCAGTAAAGATTTACAGCCTTGGGAACCCTAGTTGACCGCACAGAACCCCACCACCACCACCAGATGAAGAAATAGTAGTCTAATTCTTTTACAAACATCCTTTGAAATTACTTGGGGGAAAAAAAATTCAAAGTATATACTGAAAATATAATACAAAGAAAGACTATACAAAAATCATGGATTTTATTATACACTTAAAAATCTTCTACCAGTACATTTCTGGAAGCCTTGTCCACAAATACCTATTTTAACAAGATGAGAAAATAAGGTCTCCCCACGTGTGTGCTACCATCACAAAAAGAGATGAGTTCTTCAAATCCAATCCTAAAGGAAAATGTTGTATGATTTTTAATGTACACTGCATGATTAATAGTATTAGTGATATGAGAATGAACCGATTCATTTACATTATAAAACTACCAAATATACAAAGTTGTTTTGCACCTTAGCCATAACTTAATCCCTAGTTCTTATAATGACTATAGTAAATTACATGAGTATAGTCGCAAGAAATTGGTTAAAAATATATATTTCCAGTTTCAAATCTTTATGTATTATTAATTAATGTAAAATAAAATCTCATGAAAGAATAAGCCAAACTTGCTAAAATCAAAATGACATATGTGCTACAATGGGTTTGTCTGAATATGTGAAGTACAGTTTGATTGCTAAAGGATATTTTCATTTTATAAATTCAGGTGGCATATTTTGCTATACACTATAGTTCTTAAAGGCTGTCAGCATTTATATTAAGATTCACATTTTAAATCTTTGTGGTTCCTAGATGTAACTTCAAAATTAACTCAGAGGCCTTCATTACACAAAAGTGTATGTTTCATAGGATGTTATCCATATGTTGCACTGTGCTATTTCCCAAGCGTATAAGTAACATAAATTTATTTCCCTTAGATTGTGGAGCCTGAGAACTCTTTAGAAATTAAGCACAGAGTAATCACTGCAGACATGACAAAAACTAGACTGACTCTTTAAGGTAACAGTGCCAGCCCCTTTTTAGCAAGCACTTCTCAAAGAGAGAAGGAATAACTGGTTTCCTATTTACTGGCTTTATTACCATAGTTAGTTACAAAAGTACAGTTCATACAGGTAGCAGAGTACATATCAAAATTGAGCAGATATAATTTCTTTCCCTTTAATAGAACAGTTTCATTAACATCTAAAAATCATTCAGTGTAAACTTCAATCTAAGAAAGATGTCCCCAAATTTAGTCCCATCGTTACCAAAGCATCTCAGAGCTAGAAAGGATTTCAGAGGAGGACAATAGATCAAGATTAGCTTTGTCATTTAGCAGCACTCCACTGGGAAGCTTTAAACAGGAAAGCTGATTATATTTCATTCTTTGATATGTGCATAATGGAATAATGGGGAGTTCAATCATATACAATTGTTACATCCACACATGATTTTTATTTGGCATTGGAATGTGTGTTGGTCTGATATTTGGATATGGGTGTGTTGTTGGGGGAATTTCTATAAAAATCAAGACTTGAAAGTCACTACAGGCCTGTCTAGCAGTAAGTATCCATGGCTGTAATCTACACTTAGATCCAGATTGCTAACAAAGGGCAGCACACTTGACTACTACACAGAGCACCAGCCTAGTCAAACTGCTTCCTAATGCTAGCCTTCCTTGTGTCATCTGAACTAAGTGAGGCACCAACTTACAGTATAAATAAGATTTAAACAGAAAGCTTACTAATTTTCAAAACAGGTCTTTAAGAGCAGGACTTGGCATAACTCATCAAATGCTGACCACAGAATAAATTTCCACAAAAGGAATGATATACAAACTTGTGTCAAAGCATTCTCTTTAGTAAACACAAAATAAGTTCTTTTTTTCTATAAGTATTCCATAAATTTCCCTATTTTAATTGTATGTTTTGGTAACATTAGGCTTCAGAGTATCAAATAATCAGTACTCCCATATGGCACATGGATAAAAAGAGAATCATGATCCTATGAATAATTATCATTAATTCCATTCCTGCAGAAAAGAGTGTGTGTGTGTGTGTATATATATATATATGGAGTGCGAAAAAGCCAAGCTACAGTGTAAGAACTAAAACAGAAGCCATTTCTAATTCAGAAGAAAAAGAACTTTTAACTTGTGAAATTAGTCTTACTGGTTAACCTCTTGAAACTGTGTAAGTTTATGTAAAATATGTTACTCAGTATATTTAACTTATCTATATATACTTTTTCATGTGTAATACATGAAAATCGTTTCTATCAACAGTGTTAAAAATCTGATAAGAGAAAAAGGAATCAAGTTCCAATACAGAAGACAGGCAGTAAAGAGATGTCATTTTAACCTTGGCACCAGGTGAAAATCCTTTCTTGGTCAACTCTTCTATACTGTGCCAGGCATTCAGTTTCTTTGCAACTTTTAATAGAATTAAATCTTTTTCTCACTTTAAAGAACAAAAGTAGTTACAACAATTAGTGCAAATGATTCTATTCTCATACATTATTTGTTTTGTGGATATAAAGTAGTGATTCTGTATTTTATCAAAATATGGGATTATGAAAATACTGGGAGTTTATCAGTCTGGAATTTAAAAGCTTACATTTTCTAAACTCTGGAAATTTTTACTTTAAGCAGGAAACACAATGCTTACAGAACTTTTTTTGAAACATTGCTTGAGTATCAATAAAAATTATTTCATGCAATGCAGAAAATACAATGCATCATCCTGTAGCAATATTGTTATATCTAATCCTAAATCTAAGACAGCTTTGAAAAAAAAATCCCTTTTGATAAATTCCAAAATCTCATTTTAACCATTACTGCTCTGCAGCAATATTCAAGTTCCAACCTGAGAACTAAGAACATGGTAAAAAAAAAAAAAATGCCAAGGGCCAGCCTCATCAGGAACTGAAGACACTTCAGCATCTTTCCCATTGGCATCAAGGTGAAGTAGGCGTACACCAGAGGAATCTGAGTGTCCCAAGAAAGTGCCCTGAAGTCAACAATGCCACCTGCCACAATTTGAAACCTAAGTCTAAAATCTGTTCTAATTAACTTTATAAAACCTCTACTGCACATTTATTACTGTTAAAATATTTGCAAACTTGTAGATTTCTCTATATCAAAGTTTTTGAACTTAATCAGTCCAAAGCTTCCTCACTGCCAATAAAATGTCAGGAATGAAACAGAGGGTGCACACCCACAAATATCTGACATGGAAGAATAATTGATTTGTTACAGTCATAGCGAATTACAAAACAAGATAAAAGTTCACAATCTGAAGGAAAAAAAACTTGAGCAAGTGTAATTCCTCAGCTGTGCACTGAAGGGAGGTGAGCAGGTTTCTTACTGACAGGTGGGATTTGATATTACTGCATAGTATATCATTTTTCAGAAAGAAAAAAAAAAATCAGTAAAAACCTAAATCACAAGTGCAATTTCATCTACAACTACAAATAAGCAAATAGAAAGCTTAGTTCCTCCTCGTTATTTCAACATAGTTGTTACCTTGCCATTTCACCACAGAAATTGACAGTAAATTCCAGGGGGTAGGGTAAGGGGGACATCAACCAAAATGCAAGAATAAGTTTATGCTTCTGACTCTCTTTTCTTTCCTTCTTCTCCCAAATCACTCTCTTCTGATTGGCTACTGCTAAGGACGACAAACTGCCCCTCATTACTGGCTTGGTTTGGTCTACTGGAAGCAGCTATCAATCGACTTTGCTCTTCTAAATCCTAACAGAAAACAAAAAGAAAAATAAACTAGGTTTAGTTTGTAGTCAAATGGGAAACTATGCAATTAAAATACTTATTTGAGAATCTCTTCAGAACCTTTCTGTCATAAATATGTATGCATTAATTCTGCCAATTTACTGAAAAAGGGATATAGCTAACCAATGGAACACCACACAATTTTGGACACTTTTCTAGAAACCCTATAAAAGCCAACATTCAAACTCCAATCTCTGGTGTTTTCCTGACTAGAAGCTATCTTCCATACTCACTATATACTAGTGATCATCCCAACCCCACCTTTGCTCAATTAAGGGTCACTTTTCCTTAGCCTAGAGCAGGGGGTGGGAGGGAGCACCTTTGTATCTGCCAAAATTTATAACTTAATTTACAGGTTTCCTAGGAGCAGCTGAGTCGCTATGGATTGGAACCCATGGGTCAGACGTTTCCCACCCCTGGCCTAGACTATCAAAGATATCTTTGCCATTTTTCTCTCCCCTGGTGGAGTATATAAAGTGTTGGGCTCTTAACTGCAAGGCAGGCGGTTCAAACCCACCAGCTGCTCCACAGGAGAAAGATGAGGCTGTCTGCTCCCATCAAGATTTATACTCTCAGAAATCCTAAGGATTTAAATGCTAAATTCTAATCTGTTCCATAGGGTCATTATCAGTAGGCAGTAGGTTTGGTTTTGGGGTTGCTTTTCATCCATCTAACTGTTTCCATTTCTTGCTCATCTACTCTTAAGTATCTCACAGCTGGTTCCTCTTTACATTCCTACTGCCAATGCCACCACCTATAACAGACTCGTAAAGTCTCATGGATCTACCTGCTCAATGCATTTTCCAGATTTTGCTCAGAAATTTTTCTAGCTTAAAGATATCGTGTTATGAATGGTGGTGATGATTGCACAACATGGGGAATGTAATTAATGTCACTGAATTGTACATTTAAATATGGTTACAATGGCACATGTTTTGTATACATTTTACTGTTACTAAAAAACAAAAGATAGCAAAACTCCCCCACCTGAAAAAACCATCCTATTTATGGGCAGTGATCTGACACTCCTGGCAAGATTTTTAAAAACAACAAGCACACACCATATCTTTCTTTCTCTCTCACTCTCCTCCAGGCTGTGGACTCTAGGAGAACACGGCTTCCAACTATGGCAGTTACACCTATGATAGTCACTCGAAAGACCTGCTTTATAGAGACAATCCTCACTGCAATAGGAAAACTCTGCCACATTTATTACAAAGTGAGTCACACAACATGCCAGTGTAGTTACAAAGCAAACAACACAGCAGAAGGCACGTGCCACCCTTTTCTGCTATGCTATCAGTCATCTGGTCATGAAGTGCTGAGCAATCAGAAACAGACCTTCAAGTGGAAGTTCAAATCTGGAAATCACAGTGTTGAAACTACAACCACGTAAGAAGATCCAGACATTAGCGCTGCATACCTTTTCTATTTGCTTTTGTTTACTGAGTTCTTTCTGTTGCTTCTCTTTTACTCTTTCTATTTCTTTTTGCTTTTCTGATTGCCTACGATTCTGAAGAACAAATGAATAAAACCAATGAATTAAATATGAAGCAATGTGACATTTTATACATTTTAATTATAGTACCTTTGCAACCTTCTTTCAAATATCTTCACATGTATACATGAGAAAGTACACCAAAAGTCTACATTCTAAACCCTCTGTCAACAATAGCATCCACTGTTTTATTTAGGAGAATCATTTTATTTACTTGCTAATTGGAAAGATCTTACATTACACAGAACTACTTTAAAATTCTTGGATAATTAAGCATCTCAAATTCTTACCAGTTCTGCTTGCAAGGCTATCTGCTTTGCCAGTCCAACAGAATCACAAATCTGAAAAGGGAAAAAGTACGACAAACTCAGGCAATTCTCACCTCAAAGAATTACTTTCAAGAATCCAAATGAATGATGTAAGCAGTTTTATAATTTAGCATAATTCATTGTCTCAAAGGCAGTATGATAACCAAATGCCAGGAGTTGGCTGCTGGCTCTCCTCTCTTTCACATGCTATCTCAAATTCATTACTATCAATTACCACTAAATATGAAGCAGGGAGCCACTGAGGCTGCCCTGCCTAAGCTGAAGGCATCTAAAAATGACTGATCCCACCAGTCATCAGTGGCCAGGAAGATACAGGGCTCTGGAGTCAGATGGTCCAACCTGTCTGCTTGACTGTTTTTCAAAGCAACACACTTGGTAAAAGCAGCTCAGCTGGACCACGCAAAACCTGGGGTTTCCCCAGAAATTTTAGTAAGAACTGTGACTATGATCTGTTTTCACAACAGAAACAAATTTTGAAAAGTTAGATACCTTTTCTCCCTCATTGTTGGATTCAAATATATAGCAGACTGATGACAGGTTACTATCACTTCTCCCTCCAGAGATTCTAAGCACAAATCCAAAAAGCCGCTTATTTTCCTGATGTGTAGCATATAAAACTACACTGGGTAATGGAAACTGCCACACAAAAAAAGAAAACATCAGAAGCAAACATTAGATTTTTCAAACCATTATAGCATTTATAGGCAACTCTTAGGCTATATAAAAATATCATAAATAGAATATTAAAACCAATTGTTTTTCTAAATAGATGGGTAGTCAAAGAACAAATAATGTCATAATTGGTTTAGATTACCAAATAGAATCTGTTTTTTTAGTCATTAACATATTTCAGAAAATCAAATTCAATAAATATGGTCTACATTATTAAATCATTAAATAGGAACACACGTCCAATTATGTCAAAATAGATTATAAATTCAATGCTGTATAGTTTCTTTGCTGTTGTTATGGCCATCGAGTCAGTTCCAATTCATAGAGACCCTGTATAGGAGCAGCTGATGGGTTTGAACTGCCAACCTTGTAGTTAGCAGCCCAGTGCTTATCCCATACCACCACTAATACTCTTATTATTTTCTTTAGTGTCTGATATATACTCCCTAAAGCAAACCAAACCAAATCTGCTGCTGCTGAGTTGATTCAAAATTATGGTAACCTCATGAGTTACAGAACAGAACTGGTCCATATCGTTTTCTTGGCTATCATCTTTACAAAGGAGTCCTGGTGTGGCACTGTGGGTTAATGTGCTGGATTGCAAAGTCAGTTTGAAGTACAAGGTCGGCAGTTCAAGCTCACCAGCTGCTCCTTGTTAACCCCTACAGGGTTGCTATGGATCAGAAACAACTCAAAGGCACTTAACAACAACAAATCTTTACAGAAGCAAATGGCCAGACCTTTCTTCAACAGTGCTGCTGAGTGAATTCAAACCACCAACCTTTAGGTTAGCAATCTAATGCAAACCATCTGCACCACCCAAAGACCTACATGTTCCCTAATCAAGGTAAAAACACTGATATCATGAGGATTGCACTGATTCTTTATGTTACATACAATGTTCAATAATAACTTCATGCAGAGATGGACATAGGCATTATAACATGAATGAAGACCAATCATAATTGATATTACTATATTTGGAGACAGAATTAGGGTAATTATAAAGTAGGACATGCACAAAGGAGTTTAGAATAAAGCTACAAACATGTAGAACTCACTGTGAGTCTTGTAACTTGTGTCTGTGGATCAATTAACCTATAATAATTATGAAAATTTTAGAAAACAAATTTTAATTAGACTCAGATTACGTAAACCTTTTTTTGCCCTAGTTTTTGAGGGAGGAGTTATTACTTACTTTAAACAGTCACAAGTGACTAATAAATGTGACTCTGTCATCCGAAAGATATTATGAATGGCCCGGGCAGCTAAGATCTGACGCATTGTTTCATAGACAACATCTGGATGGTCATCTGATTTCACCTCCATAGAACCAAGGAATCGGACAATAAATAACTGATGAAGAATAGAATCTATGACAGAAAAAGTACATTACATATTTTTAAGTCTTGTGTTTCTTTTTTCTAAAGAATAAAATACATAGTTTTAGATTTGCCAGTGAAAAATTCAACTTAGCAAAGGTATTTAGAAATAATTGCTAATTCCAGCCAGTGTTCAAGTTATAAGAAAGTGAAGGTCTCAAATTCAAATTGCAAAAAGTTATTCTTCCACAACTAGTGACTCTGGGTAAAAAGAATTCCACATACTATTCTTTAATTTTTCTGTAAGCCAGAAATTATATCAAAATTAAAAACCACTAGAAAAGGAAAAGTTATGCTACTAGAAAAAGCTTTAAAAATATCTTTAGTATCGAAAGCTTGCTTAAAGGTCAAAAGTGTGATATATTCTATAATTTTGTGTGAATAGCATTAATATTGTTCTCTTAGATATATTATGATCAGAAATTTTTGAAAATAACATTAAATGTGAGAATTGTAGCCGAAGAAATTTAAATGACAAATTCTTCACACAGTTTACTACTGAATTTTTAAAATACAAAAACAATGAATCTCTATTTTACCTTCAGTTTCAGATTTTTTACCTCCTCCAGATTCTCCAAATGGATTTGTACGCCTGAGAAGTTTAGGAATAAAGCATGAATAAATGTTCAGTTATCATGAATGACAATGAGGAAATCTCAGTCATTAAAACCAGAGTTAAAAGTAAAGAGTCACAAAATCTTATGCATAAATTTTAAAAAGAAAAGCTCTAAAATGCCCATTCAATTAAAGTAGATTACTAATGACCAAGTTACTATGACAAAGGTCCCTGCTTTCATACAATATCTGAGCTAAAAGGTTAAAAACTGTGCTGCTACAATTTAGAAAAGACAGATGAACAGGAAGCCAACTCACGCATGTGCACGCACACACCTCAATATTACAATAAACCCTGTTGCAAAAGCTATGAGTTTAAAAAAGCACAGATAAAATGTCTCTTGTTCTATTAACTACCAAAAAAAAAAAAGACATTCCAAGATTTACTGGGCTTGTGAAAATGTCTTTTTAGGTTGTCTTGTAGACCTAGTGTAGCACTGTAGGATAAGCACTGGACTGCCAACTTTAAGGTTGGAAGTTCAAACCTACCAGCGGCTCTTTGAAACCCTACACAGGATTGCTGTGAGTCAGAACCAACTTGACAGCTCTTACCAACAAGTGTACAAGGACATTTATAAAGATTTGAACATTTTCTATTTTTCAATTCACATTTCTCAAGGTGTGAACAACAAAATGGGAAGAGAAAATGAATTGGAGATAAAAGCTACCGCCCTCAGTATACTTGGCATGCCCACAATGAAGGAAGAAAGCAATTCAAGGTAGGTTTGGGAAGCACAAGGCTAAGTGATTTTAAAATAACAGTATGGCATTGATCTCTTTAATCATTATCAAACCTAAATCAAATGCTAAAAATACTTCTAAGATCAAATAAATGTAAATTGCTCTTATCCAAATTAATATATATTATCAATATACTAAACAGGCAACCTAATAGAGAAATTATTTTCCTTAAGTTTTGTTTCTTTTACTTGAAGCAAAAAAAAAAAAAAAGAAAGAAAAGTTTAACAGCTTTGATAAGGGCATTCTTTATCATATAAAAATGATTTATTAATAATTTATAACAGTGATACTGTTTTAGGTACTTAATATAAATTTCTTAGTTGGCTCCAAGGTAATTTCTAATAAATCTATTGCACATGTACTACCCTCAAGAATTTTTAAAATATACAACCTAATGATAGGACTATCAACTGTCTTTTGAAATTGTAAAATAAATACTGAAGCAGAAGATGTAAGTAGCAATTCAGGACTAAAACATTTTTTTAAACTAAAATCTCTTAAGCCTGAATGAACTCCTGAAACTATGGAGTCTTTGAACCTGAAGCTCAGAATAACTCTCAAATCTTAAAACCAAACAGTACTTTAGCTCAACTAGTACAGAATGTCTGCCATGAGAACTGTGCTCTTTTTAAGATCTATTGGTGTGGGATAAAAATGGCAACCCCAATTTGAGAGGTTAAGCAGGAAACTTATGAGGGTTACACCAATGGGGCAGAAACCACTCAGAAAAGGAGGGTGAGGATGGTGGCACAATTTGAAGAATGTCTTTACTGTCACTGAGTTCTACATGTAGAAATTGTTAAATCGGTCTATGTTCTTCTGTGTATATTCTTAACATCAACTATACACTTTTTGTAAAAAATGTTAGGAAGGACAATTTTTAAACTACTTATGGAACCACAGCACTTTTTCCCTCCTACTGGAGGTTATTTGCCTTCAGCATATAATAAAAATTAAAATATAAATAAACTGAACTACCTTAACTCCTTTGAGGTAAAAGGCCGACACAGAGAAAAACTTGCATATTTCCACAACATTATCATTATTAAGTAATGAAAACAAAGAAAATACAACACAATCAATGCATAAGGCATGTAAGAGATGACCTGTGAATGTAGGAATGAAATCAAAAACCTTATAGACAACATCCCTGTGATACATTCTTTACTCACCTTCCTCCCTGGCCAGAAGCTTTTGTCTGGCCAGGCTGATCTTCACACACAGGAGAAATGATGTCGAATTGTATTGGGGTGTCTGGGGCAACAAGGGAATCTAGAGAGAGGGCAGCCAAATTTGTGGACTCAGATCCTAAAGATCCTGAACTGCTGGTTCGAGCTGCCGGTGTCCGAGATTGTCTGAACATAAAAGAGAATGAGAAGGCACTGCATTTAGTTTTCTCTTTTGGAAATCAAATAATTAAACTATTAGAAAAGAAAACACAATTTTTATTGTCAGTTTAAATATATTTCAGTAAAAGCACAATCATAATTCATAGCTATGTATTTAACAACAGACCTCTTTCTTTCCAGTTATTAAATTTTAAAAATACAAATCACCTAATCTAAAGATTCATAGGACACAATGAGGGAAATCTGGAATCCACATCATCTACCAGCTTTACTGATCCCATTTGTACATTTGCCCAATTAAAAACACACATCGTGTGTGGTTTGGGGAACTAGTTAGTACTGATCTAAGTAGAACTGTAAAAACAAAGTGCTTGCTAACCCTTTAAATAGCTCAGCCTGGTAACTTACCCTGCTGGCCGTAGGCTCTCATGCCTCTGCTGGAAAGACGGGGATGGAGTTACAGCTTCCAGAGCTGACTGATTCACTCGAGCAGCAATTTCCTATATTCGTTTTTTTTAAAACAAGTGCTAATATTAGCAAAGTAAGAAAGTCAAAATTTGAATACAACTGTATTGTCAAAACACTGTTGACACATCAAATACCAATAGAAATTACAAGAGTAGTTCTACATGTTGTTGTTGTTGTTGTTAAGTGCCATCGAGTCGGGTCCGACCCATAGCGACCCTGTACAGGGTTTCCGAGGGTGTAAATCTTTACGGGAGTAGAAA